CCCATTTCCCATCACTTCCCCCCTCTGTTAAGACATAACATAAAATCTGTTAAAATCTGTTAAGGAAGAAAAGAAAGGAGAGTTTTCACAGGTTTCTAAATAGTAGCACTAAGCGCCATTATTTGGAAGCACCAAAACAATGCTTCCCCCCTCTGTTTAGTGCTGCAGCAGCATTAGTTTATTGCAATAAGCTGAAGGTGGAATTAAAACTATGCCCTTATCCTTTTTCAACACTAGATCCACAATGGGTCTATAGGACCATGTTGGTACGCGTGTACAAAATGCAAACAAAATGTTTGTTTATTTATAACATTTCTATGCCGCTCCCATCACAACAAAGTCTCGGGGTGGCTCACAACATTCATAAAAAGATACAATTAATAATTTAAAAACTGGTACCATTTTGGCTATGTATTTTAAAATCTATAAATACAATAATAATAAATTAACAGTTAAAATAACTTTTAAATAAAAAGGTCTTCCCCTGGCTTAAGGGAGGTTACTGGTGGCAGTGGTATTTCTTTCGGGTTTCTCCCTAAGCAAATGCGGCACTCCCTTCTGGAGGCTGCCAACTATATTCCTGGACATTTCAGGGCAAGGTAGAGCAGGCAGTAGCAGTTGCCAGGAGGACTCACTGCTATCACGCTTTATGTGAACTCAGGAAAATTGCTCTGGGCCCTTCTGGTTTCTCCCCTCCAGATTTCTCTTCACTAGCAAGTGAGATTTAAATACCAGCTTCCTTTATTTGAATGTTCTCGAAAAAATTGTAATTAAAGCCTGCCTTATGGAGAGCAGAAGCTGACTAATTAAGAGACAATTTTCCTAAACCCCCTCCCCATGTGCACTGAGCAGGAAGCAATAAAAGGGGCAGATGCCGCACAGAGCAATACAGAGGGAAATTTTAAAGGCAAGAGTAAACCCTTAAATGTATCAACATCACTTTGCTTGTCCACACTGGTCAGGGTGGTGCTGCAATCACATTTTGCTGCAAAAAGCTGCCCCCACCCAAATATAAACCACCAAGAGGCTGGGGGGTGGGATGGGGAAGGCAACATAGAAAACAATGGCATGCAATGATCTGACACCAAATGCAACCTGGACTTTTCATAAGAAATGAGTGAACAGATGGGAATTACAGAGAAAAAAGTATGAAGTGTATCTCAGTACAGTCCATAAAATGGTGCTGATATGCACTCCCCATTCACCTCAGTGGGTTTTGCACAGAAGCTGCTTACAAACATTGCTGCTTCTGAATTATTCCCTCAACTGACACAGAAATACTATTTCTAAAGGGTATATGAAGAATGCAAGTGTTAACATGTTGGCTAATTCCAAATGTGTACTTTAAAACAAATTAAGATGTGTAACTTACTTACAAATACTTAATTTGTATTTATTCTAAATATACCTAATGAGCTCTGGTGTGCTCAATATAGTGCCATCATGTACTGCATCAAAAGCAAAAATTCGACCTCGACACAGAGTTACCAAATGAGTTGGGCATTCACCTTCACTTTCTGGAAGAAAAAGAAAGACTATATAAACATGGGTCCTTCAAACAGGGTGCCACGCAGTCATCCTGAAATGCTAGCTAAGGTGTTGCGACAAATCAAGTCAATGCAACAACCTCTTCAAACAACTGCCAACACAGGCACATGGTGGTAAGCCAGGATACTGGGGACTACTATCTTGCTCTGAATAAGTGGTTTGCTAGTGCACACAGTCTGACTTATTCATTTAGAAGCATGAGTTTGCCACTTCCCAGCCAAAAAGGCTCCCATAATACCTTACATATGATCAATTAAACAAGACTTATAATCTTAAAAAAAGACACAAAGGAAAAAGAATATGGAGAGAACTGGGGAGGAGAGTCTTTCAACTGGTGGAAGGGCACTCTCTCTCATCTTTCTCTGTACAGCCTGCTAGAATGGCTACCAGTAGCAATTAAGGGAAGGCAATCTGCTTTCATCTTGGTTTGTTTAAATGCTCACACTAGCTAGAGGGAAAAGCCAAGAACAAATGAACGAATTTTGTGTGCCTTTGCACATAAAACAGGCTGTAGCTTCAATGGGAAGTCAGAAAGGACTATGGGGCTTGGTTAACCAGAAACACAGTGTAGCAATTCAAATGAAGATGCAGGATTTTATCAAATGTTTACCCAGATATCATATTCAGTTCAGTAGAACTTATTCCAAATTCAGTGCTGCAGTCTTGCAGCTCAAATGTATTTATCTTTCCTCAGGAGTAAGTCCTACTACATCCAATGAACCTTACTCAGAAATGTATGCTTAGAATTGCAGCCTTAAAAGGGCATCTAGTTCTGCCTTCTGTTCTTGGTAGGCAGACAAAAATCTATTAAGTTTATGCATCATCCAGACTGGCTTCTAAAGTGCCTTCTGAGATAGATAATAGATGTTGAGAAACCACACCTAACAGAAATATCCATTCGAGGTATATTTTGTACAGAAGTAAATCCCAGTGATTTCAGCAGGACTCTCTCCAAAGTATTTGCTCTCAGCATTACAGTATCGAAAGCAGAAAAGTCATCTAGGATTTGAGCCAGTCAAAGCTATTCAGTCCTCCAGGGGAACTGTCTCTCTGTGAACATGAATCCTAATTCCATGTTTTATGAAAGTTCTTTGACTACTGCATTCAGAATCAGAATAAGGCTGTGCTGTACTAGCTGGAATATTTCTGGTATGACTTCAATCCTAAGATTTATTATAATCTTTTCCAACATGGTGTCCTCCAAATGCTTTGCATTTATATCCTGCCTTTTTTTCCTTTTGTGATCAATCCAAGGCGTCTTGCGTAGCTCCATTTATCTTCCCAACAACAATCTTGTGAGATTGAGTAAGAGTCTGTTGGGTGAGAATCTGGCCCAAAATCATCCCATGAGCTTCAAGGCTGAGTAGGAACTAGAACCCAGACGGCCCAGGTCCCCAGTCCGGCACTTCAACCACCATACCAAAACCTGAGAAGCAAACAGAGCAAACCTATACATTTCTGCTCAGTTGGTACTGGGTATGTGAATAGAAGATGCAGCTAAAATGTACTTGCTCAGTGTTTTATCTATACATTGGCCATTGTACAGTCTAGTCAGGCTCTTGGTTTACCTGTCCTGAAATAATTGACAATGGAATCTTGGGCAATTCCTGGAATCTTGCAGGTGCAAAACAGCATTTGGAACTGGTTCATGTCCAGAGGTATATTGTCAGATTTATTCACAGGCAATTTTTCCCTGTAATAAAGACAAGAAAATGTGTAAGATTTTGCAGTTTTATTGAAAAGTATGTTATAATTAGAGTCTAAATGACTACTATACTGATATTGAGAAGATATCTTTCCTTAATAAGAATGGCAAGTGTTCTGAAGGAGGATTACCTTTCTGTGTAGTACAAGAGTTGGATCAGGTGTTTTTAATTAGCAAAGTGTCCTCTCTTCTTTCCGTTTATGCAAACCATAACCAGGGCCCATGCATACTCATTTGAAAACAGTGGCATTGTGTTCAGTGAAACTTATTTCAGTATGCAAGCCTTACTCTATAGGATAGGAAGCTGATCTTGTGTTTGAAAAATCTGACCTTAGGTCAGAGAACTGGACTTCATGGCGTTTGTGCTCCTCTCATAATATGTTACTAACAATTGAATCCTATACTTAAAATTAAACCACACTAAGTTTATTGGGGATTCCTTCCTGGTAACTGGACATAGAATTGAAATCCCAAACAATTAAATAGGACTGTATTTATAAATAAACTTAGGCACACAATGTGAGCAGTATTTGTGCATAGTTATAAGAAATACTACATAGTGCTTTAAATTTTCTTACGTTCTGATTAGTTCCCAGAATTTCAAGGTAAGCCATGTGGTTATGGATGCTCTTTCTATCTGGGATCCTTCTTTCAGAGGCCAGTAATGTTCAATGTAAGGACCTGGCCCTCCAAAATTGTAATAAATTTGTGTTGAGAAACGTGCATCAAGATAAGCCACATTCAGCCACCATTCCTCCAGCTGAAAAGAAAAAGCAATTAGCAAAGTAAGGAGTTCTTAGCATAGCTATGTTATTTATTTAGATTTGTGTCCTATCCCACAGCCTCTTGGATATGTACTAGTACTACATTGCTGAAATCTGAAGTACTTTGGCACATCCAAAAAGAGATGGACAAATATGGTGGACTCCGTTTGGAACAAAGGAACTTGTAAAAGCATTTTCTGACTTGGTACTGTGGTTTGCTGGTCAGAGAGAGTAAGTTTTGAAAATCTAGCATTCCAAGAGCAATTCTTTGGATCAGAGCCTGAAGAAAGTAATCAAAGTTTCTTTTTGAAATATATTTTAGAAGCTTACTTGCCTGGCTGGTTGGAGAATTTACTTCCCTGGCTAGTTGGGGAATGCTGGGAACTGTAGGCCTTTTTCCCCGATCGAAATGTGTGTAAGATTGAACCCTCAGGGGTATACTTCCTGCATGTGAAAATCAGCCACTTATCTCATATAGAGAATCCAGCAATGGTGTGTTGCTCTTTCCCCTCTTTTTGTTTTTACACTTACATTTGTAAAGAGAATCTGAATCAGAAATCATATTTCCAACTGGTAGCATATCTTTTATGAATATAGTATGAATTTTCATTACTAAAACAAGCATGAAAATATAAAGCCCCTAATATAAAATTAGAAACCCAGTGTGCTCCAAAATATTTGCCAATTCTCAATCTCTCACCACAAAATTAAACTGAATTGCAGAGATATAACATGCATGATCATCTCAGGTCTAAACTAGTTTTTAATATCAGAAGTGTGAACTTTACAAATTCTTGTGCATAAAAATTGAAACTTCACTTGAAACTATCTCCACCTTCTACAGTTCCATAATATAATTCAAACAATATATGAGAAGAATTTGTTCCTGGATATTAAATGTATGAACATGGTTCAAACAGGTAAAATACCAGACAGCAATACTCCACTTTAAAGATTTGCATAAAATGGATTTTTAATGTAGGACTTGAATTACAGCCAGATAGCCTATACTTGATCAGACTGAAATTACTTTGGCTCCTTATAGCTGGCTCCACAATCTAATGAAGATGATGCTTTCATTTTGCATCAATTTATGCTGCAATTCTGTGCACATTTACTTAGGAGATGAGTCCTGCTATGTCCACTGAACACAGCAGTACTTAAATATGTTTAGCGTAAACATGCATATGATTACAGTGGTGCATCATACTTCGAACTTAATTCATTTCAGGAGGCCATTTAAAGTCTGAATCATTTGAAGTCTGAATTAATTTTCCCCATTAGAAACTGAATTAATCCTTTCCTTGACCCTAAACAATACCAATTTCAATAAACTTGAACAGCAAATACGGCCTCCTGAAATGAATTAAGTTCAAAGTGAGGAGAGGTTATATATGAGGGGTGGTCAAAAATGCAGTGAATGTTTAAATTAAAAAAAATTACAATAAAGGACACTTTGCCATTAATTCCCCTCAAAATACTTCCCCGCACTTCGAACACACCTATCCTGTTGTTCTTTGCCACTTTCTGAAGCAGTTCTGGAAGTCCTCTTTCATGAGTGTCTTTAGTTGCACTGTCATGGCTGCCTCGATATTCTGAATCAATTCAAAATGCACATCGCTTCTACAATGGCAATTTATGTCAAATAAAAACATTACAGTGTGTCCTCATCCACGTTATTTACCTGATCTGACACTCTGCAACATCTGGCTTGTCCCCAGAGTCAAAATGACCATGAAAGGTAAACGTTTTGAATCAATTCAGGAACAAGGAGCAAAGGACTAAACATGCGAGCGTGCAGGGAGGGTGCAGAGAGCGTGGCTCCACACTCCGCCTGCTCACTGTTCACAAAGACAGAGAAGATGCTCTGGTGACCTGCTGCGCAGAGTCAGAACGTGGCAAGGAGAGCCTCCTTCCTCTCCTCCCTCTAATGGAGGGGGAAATGGTGCTCCCTCAAGTGCAGTGTGACCAGGAGCTGCCTATAGTTGCCACTGCAACCCAACTGGGACCTTGCGCCGGCACGCATCCCACTTCTCCATCTCCCTCCCGACCTCAGAGCCAAGTGGCACCTCCGCAAAGTCTTGTGCAAGTTCAGGTGAGGAGAGGTGAAAGAACTCGGCTCAGTGTACTACGCTATGCAGCACTGTGTGCTTGCTTCAGAAAGTGGCAAGAATGATGGGATAAGTGTGTTCGAAAGGAGGGGGAGCATTTTGAAGGGGATTAATGGCAATGTGTCTTTTACTCTAATTTTTTAAAATTTAAACATTCACCATATTTTTTGATCACGCCTCATATATAACCAAACAATAAATTGGAAAAAAGCACTGCAAATGCAAGGGATGACTTGGATGCAGAATAGATGACATTTTTGCTGCAACTACATTTTTTTCACTTTGTTTGCAGTTTGAATGTAGAAGCATTGTTCAAACTGTACTCTGTTCATGCTACTGCGTTGAGTGAGACTAAAATTAGACTATATCCAAGTATTATGGACTGACTTGGATTTAGTCTAATCTCAGTCTCATCAAAGAGAGCAGGTGACTGATCAGTAAACACATGCACTCGGTTTCCACACAGAAGAGGGTATGATCCTGGAGTCTCTGCTATCATGGATGATTCTCCACTGGGAATAGAAATGCACTACTATAGGTAAGGGCCAAATTATTGAAACATTACATTTATATCCAACCTTTCTTCTTTTTGCAAGGAATCTAAGATAGCTTACATCAGGGGTCTCAAACTCGTGGCCCACGGGCCAATTGCTGGGACAGGCGGGGCATGGGGGAGGGGCCCTGCGGCCTTCAAAGCACTGGCAGCGCCCGGGCCGGCCTCCGGATGAGCGGCCCACCACCACCACGGGGGTGGAATACTTGGTGCGGCCCAGCCTCACCCAGACTCTACTTCCAGCGGCCCCCAGGTAAGTTGAGTCTGAGACCCCTGGCTTACATAGTTCTTCTCCACTGCATTTTATCATCACAATGAACGTATGAGGTAGGTAAGTCTAGATATTTCTAAAACATAATCCTTGAATTATTTCTTGCCTATTATTACATGTTAGAAATCCAGTGTCAGTATGAAAATGGATGGAGAAACATTCAGGCTTTCTTAAAAACATACCCAATTCCTTTTCACTTTAGCTCTTTGAAGTAGTTTTTGCTGTAGTTCCTTTCCAATTCCATTTTCAAATCTTTTTACTATGTCTTGAGTTCTCTGATATTCTTCTTGATTTAGGAAAGGTCTCACTGTAAAGCACAAAGGTTTATTTCAAGAAAAATTATTTGAATATGTTAACTTTCTTCTTCAAGCTGTATTTATGGTTCAAAGCTTTTTAGAAAAAAGTAGATTGCTACAGGTGATAGTTTGTAGGGCCATTAAATTTAAATGAGACTCTGAATTAACCATAGTGATAGTTTACACAAGCACATTCAGATCATATTAAATGAGGGCTTGCAGGTGTGAACACCCTATGAAAGATTAATCAAATGAAACAATATTTTTTTAAGCAGCTCTGATTTTTTAAAAAAATTGTGATACAATTTTTACATAAAATAAACCAGTATCTCATACCAGCCAGCAACAAATCATGCAATTAGCTCACAGTAGGCAAGAAATTAGTAATCATGTGAAGCAGATACCTGAGTGAACTAGCCCACAAAGTCATGAGTCACTGCAAACTCAAAATAAATGGCAAGATCATAGCAAGCCCAGAGAGGAACCAGTGATTAGTAAAAGAAGAGCCAGTAAATCATTTTTTAAAACTACAGCAGTCCAACAAAGTGAAGCACTATATTTTATATTTCTACTTTTTTGAATTGTTGTTTGGAGAAATAAAATAACAGAATTCCAATAGGAAAGTATACTCTGTAAATTCTTCCTTAAGAAGAAGATTAATAATGCTGGGCTGAAAAAGTTTGCTAACTTATTTCTTGTAAAATGTTTATACATATTGCACTGAAAGGACACTGAATGATAATGCTAACCGAAAATACTGGCATAAAAACACAAAGTTCAGTCATGCACATAGGAATGGAACTCCCATCATCCCTAACTAGCATAGCTGATGGGGAAGGATGATATATTTTTGTTGTATTTATTGTTATGATTTATTTATGTTGTAAGCTGTCCTGGGACATTTATATAGGATGAGGTAACAATATTGTAAATAAAATACATAAATAAATATCAGCTGTCATCCATTGTCTGCAAGGCAACAAGTTGTCCACTCTGCCATAGTCCCAAAACCTCAAATACCTTTAGCTTTTAACATATATAAAGATAAAGCAAGTATCATTTCTATCAGTTACTTCCACCACCTTAGAATTTATTAAGTGATCATTACAAAACGACATACCTGAATCAAGGTATTTCTTTAAAGACTCATGAAGAGCAGGAACTGGCAGTGAAGGCAGAGAGCTCTGGTACTGAAATGTACGCTCTTCAGAAGAATCAGTCACTTGGTTTTCCATAATGTTGATCTACAGGAAGCAGTATTTTAGTGTCTGAAACCTGTAATTGATTTTATTCCATATTTTTGGTATTAATGAATTTTACTTCTCTCTTATACTTCAAATTGTTTTTATGTATGACAGCCATAAAAAGAAACACATTATCTGTCATATGCACATCAGGCCAGTCACCCTCCTGATTCCAGCAACCCTAAAACAGGTCATGGGTTCTGACTGATTTGTCAGCTACTCCAGCCACCCATCCTCAGCAAGTACACCCATAACAAGCCATGTTCAACAGGGGCAATTACGGAAATCATGTGGCACACAAAAGGATGATTAATAACTCACTATGACTTACTAACCATCTCTCCATGTGTGTAAACCTAGTCATTGACACTTGCGGAATTCACAGAAACTCTGATTATTATTGTTTTGTTAATGGAGAAATAGCATTATTTTTCTGTGTTTGGCTGGTCATAGAATAATGAGAAACAGTAACAGAACTGCTTGTAATTCTAATGATTTTGAACAAATCAGTAATCAGAATGCTCCCATAACTGGGATCTAACAACATATGGAATGGCAGCTACCAATGACCAGAGCTTTTGGAGCCTGTGTAAATTGCTTCCTTTGTCAGCTATGCAAAACAAACCAGTTTTTCTCCTCAAGTTAACTGTCAGTAATACTATGATCCTTCCTTTACATTCACAAGACTATTGCCCCTGTACCGTCAACAGATACATACCTGGGAAATTGAGTCCAGCTTTGTGGAGAAAGAATGCTGTATATTTGGATGGAATACAGCAGAAGTTCACTTGTTAGATATGCTTGGAGGTAGAAATGAAAGTCTACCCAGAAATACTTGTTGGCCATGAGGCCGTGAATTCTTGAGGCAGCCCCTAGCCTCTCCAAACCTCAATTCTAGTTCCGGCACATACAAAATTTATTTTCCAGGGCTTTATATTTTCCCATGGAATAAAAGCTAATTCATAAGTTCATTAGTAAAAATGAAAGAAAGGCAACTGCAATACAATATTAGGCAAGCTTGGCTGTGTCAAAGATGTAATCAATGTTTTGCAGGTGATTATCTTACATAGGCATGTGAGAGAATACATGACAGAACAGATGTCACAGAAATATATGCAAGTCTGAGTCAAACTGAAATAACAATAGCAAAATTAAAAGTGCCCCAACCAGCTCAGTGGGACAGTTGAATGTTGAAACAGATGAATAATGTCAGCATATTATACACAGTTCTTTGAGCTGCTAAATTAATTACTGTGTTAATAATTTTCAGTACATTACATTTATATCACATTAACTGTGCTTACTTTTCCCTCAAATATTCCAAGTCAAATATTTGTGTGACCTTGGATAATACTTTTTTTTTAGCTTTGTTTACAAAATGTAAGTAAAATAAACATGCTGAATTAGATTTGTCTTGGTGAGAGGTGGGCAATTAGTCATCTTTCATATGTTTTAAAGGCCTGTTTCCATTAATTCTAGGCAGCATAATCAATGGCAAGGGATGATGATGAGAGATATAGCCCAAAACTTCTAGAAGTCTGCAAGTTGCCAACCCCTACTTTAGGGCATTATAATTTTTTCAGGGGTATATGACCCTAATTTGCACTATAACATTTTCCAACAAAACCTAAAAATGTTCCAATGCAAGTAACTATTTTTCCCATTCAAAATTTTCTGGAAAACTTAAATTACTGACATATGCTTCTGTGCAGGAATTCAGTGGTACATTGGCTCATGAACTTAATCCGTTCCACGACTCTGGTCACGACCCAAACTGGTTATGAACCAAGTCAAATTTCCCTATAAGGTTCAATGTAAATAAGGTTAATCTGTTCTGCAACTATTTTTTTTTTACTCACAAAAATTTGAAGCAAAGCGACAAAGAACAACGAAGATTGCTGTCATCACCCCACACCCCCAGCATGAACGTGGCCATCTCCCCCGTCCCAGCACAACCGCAATCGCACCTGTGTTTCCTGCATGAGTGAGATCGCAGTCACAGACGAGTGCGGAGTGCGATCGCGGTTGCACTTGGGCAGGGAGGACGGGCGTGATCCTGGCCATCTCCCCTGCACCCCCTGAGCATGATCGCAGCCTCCGGAATTCAGGATACAGAGAATCCTGAGGCTTCTCCAGTCTCCTTTCCTTCTCCTCCAAAATGCTTCTGTTAGATGATCCAAATAGTACATCTAGCAAAAATGCAGAGCATGAGGATGGGGAGACAGAGATTCACCACACCTCCCACCATGCATAGTATACTCAAGCTTCCAAGTCTTGGGCCTTATAAGTATCAACAGCACCCTTAGTTATGCGAAGAGGGTGCAAGCTTCAAGGGGATAGGATCTACTTCTCTCACATTTTGCCAGAGGATCTCACATTTTGCCAGACTTTAAAATCATACTTGAGCATTAAGATAACATTGCTTTTCAGTTCAGCCAGGTCTATGACTGCAATACTGTTAACAGGTGCAGTAGAAACTTATTGACCAGTACCTGTAACATCACTGTGAATAGCAGGCACATGGCTCTCTCCCCTCACAAATGATCATACTGTTTTATACCTAAAAGATTTTAAAGCATTGCTTACATATTTTTAATACATGTTTCTTTCACATTTCCTGCCTCTTGTACTTCCTAGGTTAATGAAGTACTCTAGAGAATCCGAAAGCTTTGGGGACATTTTAATCAGTTCTAGTTCTTCCCATTTTGGATTTTTTTTTACTCACAGATCAGCTATTATTTGGAGGACCATTATTCCTCCAAAGTACATGTCATAATTTCTCCTAGTAGAACTTGTTCCTCCATTCTCTTCCCTCTCTTTGCTATTAACAGGTTACTGTGCCAAAAGTCACCAGAGCTGTTCATTTTTATTGATTTAATGATGCATCATGTTTGCCCATCTTCAGTGGTAAAGTGAAGCCAGGGTTTGTATATTGGCACTTTTTGATAGCAGGGACACTGATGTCTAACCTCAGAATTCCCTCCTCCACCTTAGCTTTGGGTAAGTGGGCGGGAGATTACTTTTCCCTAGCACAGTATATATAACTGAGCTATCTCTGTTCGAATACTTAGAGAATTTTTAAAAATGGTAATTAGTGTATAAATTTAATTAATAAATGAAGCAATGTACTTTGGAGTATCCTGGCCTTGAATGGACATTTCAAGCAGAGAATTGCTGAAGAATACAGTTGCCTGGAATTCCGGACTCTCCTTAGAAGCAAAGTTATCAGGATGTTCAGGATGGGCACCCACACTTAAAAAATTACCACTACATCACTGCCCATGGCATCACCATTCCCAATAAAACGCCTTGTCTGCATTTGACGAAATCAGCGGTAGAAAATGACTCATAATGTCCTCATGCTGGGAGATTACTTTGTCCCTGACAGCTTAACTGCTACTATTTCTTCTTTATACACCACATAATACCTCCTAAGTGCGGTAGGAAAAGTAAACACAAAAGCAAACAAGGCGTTCCGTATCATTTGTTTTTCAGCTCAAGCAATGGGAGCTGAATACAGCAAATATGCCTTGGCATAACTTCTAGTTTTTAGAGCGAAGAGGCCTCTAGTCTTCCAGAGCTGAGTAACGAAGTGCCACAAACTTCTCGTGCGCGTGTGCACGGAAGTTTTTAAGTAACTCTAATTGCTCCTCTTGTCTGAACAAGGACCTGTTGCTTTAATCCTACTAGCATTGCCTAGCTGAGCATAACGGCGCGGGCGTCTTCTGCGTGTGCTTGCTCGCTCAGAAGGCACTTGCCCCGGCGGCCATGGAGGGCCGGGCACCTACTATTGTTAGAAGCCCTGCACAGCCACAGGCAGCTATGGGGGCGGCTAACGGGGAGGGATCAGAAAGGCAGCGGGCAGAATTCAAGAGCCGTCGTCACCGGCCCTGCCGCACTTTGGGGCACGATTCCTGCCCACCCCGCCGGCCGCCGCCCACCCCACCCCACCCCTCCATGCCTGAGCTGGGGCGCCTCTCGGCGACTTGCCCCCACCCACCTCATCGCCCAGGCCTGTTTGCCTGTTTGCCGCGGGCTCCTGAGGCGTAGGCGCGGGTCCCTCTTCGCCCCGCGATCTCCCGTCACAACAGTGAAAAAGAGACCGAGGCTTCGCTTCCCTCGACTTTTACCCGACTTCCAAGCCCAGGGAAGCGGAGGAGGAACTGCCAACGCTTGGCGGTGCCCTCCGAGGAGGAGCCGGCGACGAGGAGGTCGGGCTTAAGCCACCTGGGCGGCGCCGTGCTGGGCCTACGTGAGTGGGGCCTCGGGAGCGGCTCCCCGAGCAGCGCTCTGACCCTCAGTCGCTCCCGCGCCACTCCAGTTGGAAACCAGGCCGGACGCGCCTGCCCTCGTGTCCATCGCCGGCCCTTCCACTCTTTGCCGTGAGTCCCGATTTCCTCCCCTGGCCTTGCCATCTGCTCTCGATAGGAAGGGTTGTTGCTGTAAGTAAAAACAATAATGGCACCTGCATATTGAGAATAGAAGCAGCGACAAAGGAATACACAAACACATGAGTAAGGTAAACAAAGGAGGGTTTTGAACATCCCAGTGCCTTGACGTCCCAGTTTTTGCTTTGAAAAGTTTTGCAGGTGAAAATTTGCCCCATCCTTAATAGAAGATCCGGCTCCAGATGTATATAGCTTTATCATGCCCCCCTTAATTCCAGAATTTCTGAACTGCTTGTAAAAACACTGAACCCTGTTGAACTATTATTAATCCACCTAAAAATTACAATCTGGAACAAAACTTTTAACCATCCCATTTTAGCCCCCACACTTAGCTTTTTCCCACACACTTCATTAATGTTTCTTTCCTGAACTTACCTCCCCACAGTTCAATGAGTGTATTGTTTCCCCTGAAGATGACTTGGAAGCTTTAATCAGTGCAATTTTTATGGCTTGTAGAATAGTTAATTTGGGACAGAATCCGATAGAAAAGCCACATTGTTTTTGCTAGTTCTATTGTACCAGGGGAACAAGCTGCTAACACACCAGTAACTAATGAGTCTTGACATACTTTCAGATGTGTGCAGCAATGCTCATTGCTAGATTCCAACTCCTTTCTGTGAGCTCTATTGCTTCAGAAAGTGCTGGTACCTGTTGCATTAACAATAGTGCAAGGGCAGTACAGAATATTGCCTATGGTTAATAAATCTTTGTAGCCAGGTTGCAAGTTTGAAGAAGGCGCTCTCCAAGATCAGCATGCACCTTCTGATAATTCATATATAGTGATCCTGTTTTTATCAGAATGTCTAGCTGGATCTCCTGGCCACAAGAAAAAGTCTAAAATCCCCATCAGGGTAACTCCTTTGTTTGACCCACTCAAAAGTCTTAAAACATGTTCTGATTTTTGAGGGCTCTAGGTGGTACAAAAAGCAGGTTGGCAGAGTGGGGGTTCAAGAATAGGAAAAGAAAGCAAAAGAACCCCGGGCTGACTTAATGCTGAAGTCATGAACTCTGTATTTAAGATGCAACCAGATAGGAGAGATTTGCAGTCACTCAAATAAGGCTCAAGGGGTGGTTGAGGATAGTTTCCGATTATACCTTAGACCAGTGGTGGCAAACCTATGGCATGCAGAGCCCTCTCGGCACATGAGCCAAGTTGCCCCAGCATTGCCCCAGCAGCCGAGCATTGGATAACAGTGCACATAGGGGCGATGGGCATGCTCAGAAAGGAGTACTGGTGCCAGGCGATGATGTCACAAGCCGCGACACATTAGCCACGACTTGTCCGAGCTTTCACATGGCTGGTCAATGCGCTGCAAAGGATATATATATATTTGCTTGGACTGACTGCTTTCAGGTTTGATTGTAGTGTTGGCACTTTGCAATTAATAAGTGGGTTTTGGGTTGCAGTTTGGACACTCGGTCTCTAAAAGGTTCACCATCACTGGGTTTGGGTTAGAAAAAGGAGGTGTCCTGGCATGATTTTGAGGGTTGGAATTTGTTTAGAATGGGCAGAAATGATGAGCTGTGCTGAAAATGCTACTCAAGGAAGACGTTTTCAAAATTGCCCTCATTTTAATGGAACTTTAGCCCTATATTAGGGTTAGGGGAGTGCACCAGGGTAGGGTTAGGCCAGTGGTGGCAAACCTATGGCACGCATGGCACAGTGGACACACAGAGCCCTCTCTGTTGGCATGTGAGCCAAGTTTCCTCAGTATCGCCCCAGCAGCCATGTGCATGCTCAGAAAGGAGTAGCGGCGCCAAGCGATGATGTCACAATCCGCGACTCATTAGCCATGACTCGTCCGAACTTTTGCATGGCGGATCAGTGTTCTGCCAAGGATATATATATATTTGCTTGGGCTGGCCGTGAGTTGTTTTTTCTAAACTAAGACCTCAGTTTTCAGTTTTTATTGTAGTGTTGGCACTTAGCGATAAATAAGTGGGTTTTGGGTTGCAGTTTGGGCACTCGGTCTCTAAAAGGTTTGCCATCACTGCCTTAGACTACTCCTGAAACTGCTGGGAAGAAGAAAACCAAGCAATAACAGTTGATTCCCCTAGTTTTGACAATATAAAATCTACCTGTTACTCAGATCTATTTCCACCCATAGTTGAAACACAGATTCCTTGGTCAGTGCCAAGGGAAGAAGAGAAACTAGACAGTTTTTATATTAACAAAGCTAAATAGAATTTTAGACAACAATTTTATCAATTTGTCCTGTCATCTTTTCAGATTCTATATCAATCATGAAAAAATGTGTCTTTCATTTACCTACAGCTCTAACTTGCTGAGTGTCACACTGTAATTTTAATCAGCACAGAATACCTTGTAAATCTTGTCGCAGGGCTGCTTATCATTATACACAACAGTATATCCAAGTAATAACATGGTGTTTGAAGCTGGTATGTGTTTCGTGTTTTAGTGCCTGATATACCATGGGGACACAATTGGTCCCAGCTTCCTGTCACATGTTTCCCACATGTTAAACAAAAGTCCACCTGCTTCAAATGTTCTGGTTTTATCACAGTACACAATGAAGGTCTTTTATCAAGAAGCAGATGTGAGAATAGCAGCTTCACCACACTAGTCTTTTCTAACCACATTGTAGTTGAATGTCCAGAAGATGGCAGTGTCTGCAAGCTGGAAAGTCTCAGGTTTTGAACCATGCTTTTATAACAGGTACCTATTTGTCCTGGAATGGTCTTTTAAAGAACCATCCATATGGATGGATTCGTTGATCAGATTCTGAAAAACTCCCCTTGTTTCATAGTTTTCAAATGCCTGAATTTACATGCATGTTGACTGTTTCCTCTGTTTCACTGATCTTAAAGTCCAGTTTTGTCCTTTTGTTCCACATGGGACATAAAATGGGAGCCTTTACTTGATAAGCATGACATTTTGGCATGTGAATGACTGTTAAGAGAATGGTAGGAATTTTTCCTGTCATTCCCTTACCTTGGAACAGGGCTCTCCAGAGATGACATGAAAGGACCACTACGTTTGTAAGGAACACTTTGCAATGGATGCAGTTCTCAGTGTTGATGAGGTAGCATCCAATCCACAACAGGGCTGATGCTGAGCTAAACTAAACTGTTTTCCTGTACCTGCAAACCAGGATACAGGTGGTGGCTACCCATTTGAATGGTTTTAGATGAGGACTGGACAGATTCATGGAGAAGACTATCAATGGCAACTATCCTGGTGGCTATATGCTACCTCCAGTATCAGAGATTATGTACACCAGTTGCTGGAGAACATGGGTGAGAGGATATTTTTACACTCATGTTCTCCTTGCTGGTTTCCCATGTACAATTCATTTACTGCTGTGTCAGAGGAATGCTAAACAAGATGGACTTTTGCTCTGATCCAGCATAGCTCTTATCTTCTCATGTTAAGAGGATAGATGGCGGTATATACCACAGTTTTGTTTGAGGTAGAACTATCCCATATATAGATCACAAACTGCAGCATCAGGTGAAAGTTCAACCAGCGTTCAAAATGCTAGAAGCACAAACAGTGGCATTCTGGGACCAATTGTTCTGCAGTGATGAGGCCACAGAATATAATGTTCCAAGTAGCAGGAACATTAGTAGGTTGTATGCTCAACCTGATTCACAACATGTGGAGTTGTGATTTTTTATCTAGAGTAGCGCGCAGTCCCTTGATTTGCACAACGGCAGGCGTTCTTCAATAGCTACATGTCCACCTCCCATGCAGTCAGTGCACGTGATCCTAGCTGTCCCAGGGACCCACTGGTAGCGCAGTCCATTCCTAAAGGCCAGCACATGAATGGAGAATTCTGGACAAGAAATTTCACACTGTTATATCATACAGCATAGAGCACTTGTCTTTAATACATTTTATTTGCTCCTAAGTACCTACATGGTTGTGCCATTACTGTAGAATTGTGGGTCTTAACATGCAATCATATTCATTCTTATTCAGAAGTAGGCCCTACAAGTTTTCAATGGCACCTACTAAACAACTGTAACAGAAGTAGTAATCTCACTCATTGCAAAAGAGTAGCTAGTTGCATGATGAGCACATTGCTGACTTGGTTGCATACTCTATGTCAAAGGTTACTTTGTGTATGGAGCCAGTGGGTGTAAAAAGGATGGCTAATTTATTGACAAAGGGTAGTTTGACTGTGCCCCACAAGAGTTTGAATGCAGAGGAGATTCTGTGACCCCAGTAAATCTGTAAAAAACTGCCAGAAATTCTTACCAAGTTTTGAAACGGAAATCCAAACTTTCTTTATACCTCATCCAACCCTATATTTGTCAAAAGCTATAAATCTATAAAGTGAAACTCATAGCAAATAGCAAGGATGGTCTCCAAGTGATGTATGGAAACTTTATCCGAGGTAAAAGGTTCTCTATACACTGTTTTATGCACCTCTATCATGTATATTTCTTACTCACCTTTTCTCTAAGATGAACAGTCCCACACCTTTCCTCATAATGGAGCTGCTCTGGCCCCTTGATAATTTTCTTCACTCTTTTTGGCAACTATCCAACTCTACAATATCATTTTTAGGTGCAGCGATCAGAACTATACAGTTTGCCCAGTGTGATCATGTCATACATTTTGCATAAGGTAAGTATATTAGAAATCTTAATTTCAGTTCCTTTCCTAATTATGCCTAACAGAAGTTGCCTTAAGTAGAGCCCTTCCCAGGGTCACTTCTCATGGGAACCCCAAAGCAATGAAAGGGGAGATATCACTCAACAACTCTTGAAATGATTTGTGAACAACCTATGTGAATGAAATTATACACAAATTCACTGCCTCTTTGTTCTAAAAAGAGAGGACAAAATTCTAAGTACAATTCATTTTGATTTTTTTGTTGAAATTCCCATATGCAAATTAAATGATTTGACTACATTATCATATATGATGGTAAAAATACACACATGAGCACACAGAGACCATACAATTGGTATTAATGCCTTCTTCTCCCAGAACTGGAGCTTTGTGAGGGAAATTCTTGAGAGCCAAATGTGACCCAGAAGCCTGATTCAACCATGTTGTTGTGTCTACTGCAAACAAGGAAGTATATAAAGGGTTTTATGGAGCTGCAGTTACCAATATATAATTGCTACCATTGCACTAAATACTCAATCTGTGCATGTTTTTAAAGTTGACTGGGCTCTTCTAAAAGAGACACAATCCATTGCCATTTGTCACCCACATAGAGTCATGTTGTGTAAACCTAGTCTATGTTTTATGGACGTATGTCATTCCCCACCTTAACTGTCAAAAGTGATTTCACGTGGTGTCAATTCTTCCTTTGTTCTGAATCTATTCCTGTTAAGAGCAATTACAACCAATTTATCTGAATAGGATGTTATGATACATAAATGTAATTAATTTACATTGTTGTTTCACAGCTCTTATCAGATGCATATAGAATATGTGAAATAATATCAGCATGAATACTGTTCATAGCAGCAGAGGCAACTCCTGCAGAGCAGGGAGACAGGAAAAAGTTTTCAAGGAGATTGGGGAAAAGAAAGAGAACTGGTTAGCATGTGATGACAACCCCAAATATAGATTGAGTATGGGTTGTTGAATCCCAGGTGGTTGTTCATGTGAACCTGAAATGGGTTCCTCTCTTTGAATCACCTAGGAAAATAAGTTTGTTGTTGGGATATGAATTCTGGGCTGTTTTAATTCTGGGTTGTTATGTGCTAACCCAGGTTGTTTTGTTAAGCTACAGAGGCATGCTAAAAATACACCACCTGCCACTCTATATGACAGTACTACAGTGCTGCAAAGGCATTCAAGGTTACAGGGAAGAAGCGGGCAAATGAGGGAAATTGTTGAAAAGCACAACCTGTGCTTTGTGTGACCATCTGGCAGATAAATAATGGCTAAATTCTAGGTAAGGCAAGAACCCATATTCTGGGTTATTACATGAGATATATTGTACTAGGAAATGTAAACTAAAATAATTTAGGGATATAGAATTTGGTGATCTGTTGTAAAAGCAGTAGATCCACTGTTTGTAGAACTATTATGCTGTCTTCCTCCTATGCTCACTTAGTGTACTTGTAAATAAATCCTAGTATTACATTAAAATTCCTGAAATCTTACACTCCTCCAAGAAGTAAGGTACATAGCTTTACTATAGTGAACAAACCAGTTCTTGGGATCCAAAAATTGCACCAGCCATAAAAGATCAGAATAACACTGAAATTGCTGGAAGGGTACCCTGTTTGAAGAACCAAAGAGCCAAGAAAAGACTTGCTAACTCAGTTCCAAAGAAAGAGGCTGAGAGCTCTGGTTTCTATAAGTCCTTCAGAAACAAATTGAAATATAAGTTTTCAACTTAAGTATTCCTAACAATTGTGCTTTGGATCTGAGCCAACACACTTTTATAACACTCTTTCTTTGAAGAGTTTAATAGTATTCTACAAGAATCTTATTTACCAAATGTGTTCAAAAATCCACTTAACAAAGACTTTGATTGTTTCAACACTTCCCTCCCCATTCAGAGTTTAGTAAAAAGACTGGGTAGAACTTGGATGTGACTTGCACAACAAGTTCAATACCACCATTGAGCTTCCAGGGATCTGCTTTATATTAATGCTAATGTCCCCATATCTTGCCTAATTATTCTTTTTCCTTACAAAAAGGTCTAGAAGCTTCTATTGTGGGCCTCAGACAGTACCAGTACAATATGATAGCCATGGGAATTAATTCACACAGTAATTGGATGCTGTTTCACTGTTACAAAATAACTGGTTGTAGTTTGAAGCAGAATCAATTATTTTGCTCATTGCACAGGACTTTTTAACTCTTGCATGGAAACACATCCATGGCAGATTATCCTTTGGAAAGGCATTTAATGAATTGTGCCTTGTGGATTTACATATGTGTATATGCCCATTTAAAAAAAAACACTGAGTAGCCTTGCAAAAAAACAAAAACAAAAATCTATTTTAAAAGGAAATCTGAGGCTTGGCAGCTATTACAGCCCATGCTCCTATAGCAGGTGCCTTTACCACCTTCCCAAGTACCTACAGTTTAAAAAAAAATCATGGAAGAGTTTGTGCACATCTGTTCTCTCCCTGCCCCCACAAAAAAGATAGCAAACCAATGAAGGCCCTTCCAGTATGCTATTGAAGCACAAAAAGGTATTTCTGTGGAAAATCCCATGGTAAGCAACAAAGACTTATTATTATGTTGGGGAGAGGAAACAAGGTGTATTCAGCCAGCAAGATTTTGGGGAACAAGTGTGGCTTGTTGTGACATGCAAAACCATCTATAGACTCCCGTCTTTCATCTCAAATTCCATAAGCTTATGCAGCTCTCAAAAGCAATTAGGTTGATTTTCATCCCCCAGTCCCAAGAGATGTCCATGCACCCACCAAACAGAAAGAGTACATCACAAGATGGCCAAGATACCAATAAAAGCACATGGCTGAGAACAGTAAGGACAGAACTGTTCCTATGTAGGAATCCACTGATATGTGAAATTCCTTTAAGGCAGGTTCAGCATACTACATTTATATCCCATATTTTTTTTCTTCTTGTGAGAAACCCAAGGCAGCTACATAGTCCTCATCTTCATTTTATTCTCATAACTCCTATGTGAGGTGGCTTAGGCTGAGGATTCCAAAGTGTTTGATAGCCAAGTGGGAACTAGAACCTGGATCTTTTGAGCCCCAGTTCAACACTCTAACAACTACACTGTCTCTCAATCCAGAGCATGCCACAGAATGGATATCTATTAAGAACCCACAAAGAAAATATGTTAATGTTAAATGCAAAGGAAAGACTCATGAAAGCTCTAAGACTGCATTGAAATGAGACTTACCATATGAAGTGCATTGATGGTTATTCTAATGTTGTTCTGTCATGCATATCCATTTTGCAAAATTGGTAATACATCATTTATATAATCACCCTCACCAACCTGAAAGGCACAGCCTAAACTAATGCATGATTATTCAGATATAACCTGTGCTTTAGTCAAAGGGGTTCATTTACAAGTGAATTCAATTTAAGGAAGCCTTAATACAGTTCTTGTTTTGACCCCAAGACATAATGACTTAGTTTGTATGCAAGGACCAACCATGGGTTCAACAACCAATAGTTATGTGCCATTTCTTACCCACTGTGCACCACTTCATATTCACTTTTGTAAACACAGGCATGTCCTGTCTCTGGGTTATTAGTTGTGATGTATGAATCCAGAATACTGGGTTTTCGAGAGGGAAACAATCCAGAGTGTTAACCCAACTACAAGCCATACTTTGCAAAGATCTGGCATTGCAGATATATTCATCAGTGAAATTATTTAGAACAAAAGCACTAACAATATTTCTTGCAACTGGCCACACAACTCTGCCCAGCGAAAGTTGCAAATGTTTGCAGTTCTTCACTGAATCTGGCTTTTGTTATCACCTATTTGGAAATCCAAGGTATAAAGCAAATCCAGAGGTATATTTGTTTAAAATTGCATGTTTAAAATGGACTTGGACAATGCACAAATGCATGTGAAATTTTAAGAGACCTGACTTATGAATGTTAACAATAAAAACAAAACAAGTTATTCCTAAGTAAAAAATTTATTATAAATGAAGGCAGTCAGTCCCATAATGGGCACAGTTAAATAACTCATGCCTGGTAAAGTTTCATGCTGAACTAGAAATTAGTAATGCTGTCATCTTCGAATTAGTCTAATTCTAAATTCCATATTTCTTAATCATCTCATTTGCTTTGGAAATATAAGCATTCATGGCATCTTCCTTTGACAAACCTGTAACAAAAAATTACCAGTTATGTCCATGCCTCATTCTCACAGAAAAATGACTTCACAGAATACATTTCAGAAGAATGTTAACCTTTCTTATGATTCCACGCTTCCCATTTGGCTTTGCCTTTTAAATCCAGCATTCCAGGACACTCTGTCAAAAGACAAAGCACAGTATCAGCTTAAACACCTTTGAAGACTGCAATGGATACGGCAAAAATAACTAATGTGGAACATGCACAAATTTACCAGTATTAATATCTCCCACAGTAGACTGTTTGTAGAGCCCATACAATTCCTTCAGTTCATCATCTGTTGGCCTGGTCTTTAATTTTTTAACACTTTCTGCTGCATTATTGAAGTCAGCCTGATAAAGAAAAGCAAAACAAAACAGTGAATATATCTTAGTTTTATAAGGGTCAAAAATGGCTGCCAGGGAATATGATGCTTCCTTGACTTTTTTCATGGAACACATACTGCATTCTAGTGGTCCAGTACTTACTTTCTTAGTTCTGTTCTTTCATTTGAACCAGTCGTTTGTTTTATATTCATTCATTTTATTTCTGTACCAAAGCCAAAGCTCTCTGGGCAGTATGCAATTCATTAAATTCAGTATGAAATATAAACAACTATCAAGTCATAACGTTTCACTAGGGATTTAAAACTGAATTTTCAACTACTTAAGCAACCAAGACAGGCTCATACAGCTATGTCTCTTATCTGTGGTTGGGCAGAGATTCAATGACTGGCCCAAAGTCTCCCAGTGAGCTTCATGGCCCAGTGGGGTATGAATATTAAATAAGCAGGGAAGCATTTTGCAGGGTATAAAAAGCTGAGCCTTCAGGCGAAGCTACCACTCCTCAAAGGCCTGCTCTTGCCTTGCATCGGTCTTCATCCTGACCCAACCCACACACCCACATCACCCTGCCAAGTCTTGCTACTTGCAAAGAATATGGGGAAATGCTGTGCAGTGGGGCAGTGATTGTGTGGCCCTTCAGATGCTGTTGGATTGCAAGTTCCACCAGCCTCAGCCAGCATAGCTAATGGGGAGGGATAATAGGATTTGCAGGCCAACAACAGCGTGTTGTATTGGATTAGTTCTGCAACCCTCCTTCGGGAACAAAGGGAAAGAAGGAGTGCATTTGCCATGCTAGGAAGTAGGTAAGGTAATTAAACTGAATTCATCACTGAATGAATGCCATGCTAGAGGTAATTAAATCGAGTTCATCACTGAACTGCCAGAAGCAAGAGTAAGATTAAGGCAGTAGCAACTGTTCAGGTGAAATTTTGAGTAACAATGTTCTTTTCTTGATCGCCAACATAAACTATGGACTTAGGAGATGGAAGACAGATCTCTCACAATAAAAAGATTGGCAATGACTAGTCTGCTGCAGTTCCAGCAAACCAAAATGTAGCCATATGGTTCTAAGTGGTAGTGAAGCAGTGGAGCGGGGAGAGGTAAATGAAAGCAGATTAGAAGTTCATTTCCTTTCTCCCAAAAGGAGGGACAAGAGAATTAAGTGTGCAACAGCATCCCATACAGCAGTTGATCCATGCAAGCTCATTGCTCCAGCGCTGCATAAATTTAGGCATGTGTGCAAAAGCTGCAATGCAGCTCCTGAAGAGCTGGCATTCTCCCAGCTGTCTTCAATATCTGCTCCCTCAGCAGGCTGGGATGTCTGCTTTGGCCTTGGGCATTATTTCTTTGCCATTGTATAGCTCTTGGGGACAAGGGTTTGTTTTGCTTCAGCCAGTTTTATTAGTTCGGCAAGGTAACAAGAAAAGCACGTAATGCTATACACTATTAATTCCGTGATGCTCATCCCTTCTAGAACTTTAATGAAAGCTCGTTCACAATTATTTTATTTCTATGCCACCCAACAGTTGATGTTCTCTAGGTTTACAACAGCACAAAAATGCATTATAATATACAGCTAACACCAAAAACATAATAAAACTAGCAGTAGAAAATATAAATCCAATTTTTAAAAACTGTAATAGCTTACACAAATTAAATCACAAGGTCCGTTAAGCAACTGACATAATGCTCCAATATAATATTAAACCTAATTAAATGTTGTGTCATAGATAGACCAAGTTTTCCACTGAAGTCTGTCCAATGCCACAAAGACATTAGAGTTGGCACCAGGTGGGACTCAGTGGGGAGCTTGTTCCACAACTGGGGGCTGCCACTGAGAAGGACGTTCTCCTTGTTACCAGCTGACTGTGCAAGTAGCAATCAGAGGCAGGCTTCTAATTTTGATTGTAGCATCTATCATGGTATGTGGTTAGGGGAGGCATTCCATCAGATATTGTGGCCTCAAGCTATTTATAGGTTAAAACCAGCAGCTTGGAATCATACAGGCAGCCAGTGTAAGTGGCCCAGAATTGGTATGATGTGGTGCTATTAATCTGGCTGCCACATTTTGCACAAGCTGCAGATTTCAAACAATCTTCAGGGGCAGTCCTATGTAAAGTTCATTGCAGTAATCTAACTTCAAGATTACCAGAGTATAGCTCACAGAAACCAGCCTACCCCTGTCTGGATAGGGGCATAGCTGGGCCACCAGCCAAAGACATTTGGCCGGTAGAAGACATTCTATGCCACTGAGGCCACCTGGGCCTCAGGTAACAAAAATGATTCAAGGAACACCTCCAAGTTACAATCCTATTCTTTTGAGGAGAAGGCAACCCTATCCAGAAGAGACTGAACACCCCCATCTGGCCAGAGGAACCATCCACTAACAGCAACATCATTTTGCCTGCACTGAACCTCAGTTTGTTAGCCCTCATTCAGTCCACTGTTGCAGTCAGGCACCAATTTAGCACATTCACAACCTCAACTGCTGAAGTTGAAAAGGAGAAATAGAGCTGCATATCCTCACGTACTGAAGACAAGGCACTCCAAAACTCCAGAGGACCCCCCTCAGTGGTTTCAGTCAATGTAAAGTAGCATGGGGGACAGGACTGGCCCCGAGGAACCCCATACTGTAGAGTCCAAGGGCGAAGCAGGATCCCCAAGCACCTCTTCTGAAGCCACCCACCCAGTAGAGGCAGAATCACTGCAATGCCTGCCTGCCCATGCCTAAATCTGCCGAACCCAATGTAAGCAGGCATAGGATTTTATTTATTTATTGTATTTTTCCTGCCAGGACACAAGCAGGCTTACATAACCTTCCTCTCCATTTTATCCTCCCAACAACTCTATGACTGTCTGAATTTGTTCTCTCTTATAGAATTGCAGCCTTAATAGGACAACTAAACCTGCATTAATACTTAACTGAGCTGACTGAGTGATTAAAAAGGCTAGGGTTTATCTTAACTAGTTTCCGTGCCTACTGATGGATGGAAAGCTGATGCCAGTTTAGATTTTGCACCGAAGTGTGAAAGATATTAAGTAAACCATGTGGTTTCTTCATTTTTCCTTGGAATCTTAGCTTTCTGAGACTTAAGAATTGTGAATGCACTGCTCTCATTTTAACTTTAAAACTCTGCGACATACCTTCCCTGGTGTCCATTTTACTGTGGGTATAAGAGATGGGAAGGCCTCGAGTGCCTGCATGCATGGTGAACACATGAAAAACATGTGAATAAAAAACGGCAGATGGATGGGGGTGGGTGATAAGGAGAGAGAAAATGAGAGACAATGGTGATCCAGAGTGAAAGAGAAAAGGATAGGGAGAAAATAGGGCTGCCAGGTCAGGGAGAGGGAAAAAGAATTTGTCTTCTATGAAATAAGTTTCTGTTGGAGTTGAACCTGTGGATCAAATAATTTTTTTATTTTATTTTTTTTTAGTATGTTGCGGTTCAGACCTACCTTGTCATTTGAGCAAATTGTCCTTTCTGACTAGCCTCCCTTCCATAGCAATTATTTTGTGGTGTTTCCCAGGACACGATTTCAAATTGCTGAATGCACCCGTAGATTCCAAAATTTTGCTACTCCTGTATTGCATAATTGTGCACAATAGTCAATCTAATTTCTCTGCTCATTGAACATAGGGTGTAAGACAGAAAGACAGCAGATCTGTTTTCTAGGAAACCAAGGTCAAAGAAGAAAGGGTCTTAATTTTTGTGGAAGGCAGCTATGGCTTCTGGTTGAAAATATCTTCTTTTTACTACAGTCCTGTCAAATCTACTGTGCACCTTTGATGTCCACATCAGCTTTAATAGCTCCTAAGAGTATAAGAATGCAATTAAGTGATTGCAGAAAGAGGTATGAATTTTGGTGAATGACTGCCAAGAAAATCCGGCCACAATCTTTTAAGAACAAGAACAGTTACAATTATAAATGGGATTGGAAAGGCTATTTTTAGTTCTCTTTTGTCAGCTTCCAGGATTTACAGTTTTAGCTGTTCTTTATGAAGCCATACACCACAGCTGGCCGACCAGTTATATCATTTGTGTAGCTCTACCACTGACCTACTTAAAAAAAAAGAAAAGAAACACCACTTTTTGTTGCTGTTGTTTTAAAGTCAAGAGGTGGATTTCACCACAATGGAATTTGCATGGCTTTAAAAGATTAGACAAATTTATACAAGATGAGTGTGAAATCCTATGCATGTTTAAACAGGTCCCAGCATTCCCCAGCCAGAGGCAGTATGCCTATGCACACCAGTGATTGGGGAGCATGGGTGGAAGGGTATAGTTGCATTTATGTGCTTGTGGGTGTCCCATGGGGAGCTGTTTGACTGCTGAGTGAACAGAATGTTGTCTCAGATGGACCTTTGGTCTGATCCAGCATGGCTGCCCTTCTGTTCATATATATTTTGGAGTTTCACTTTCTCCTGGTAGCATTAATTTCATAACAAAGATAAGGATATATTCAGTATACTTTCTGCTAGTTTAGGGTGATGTTGGTCCATTGCAACATAGCCAAGAGGTTATAAGAGACATTCCACTTTCTAGGCTCATATTTCTCCAAGGTGGCTTTATAGCAGACTTTCCCAATCTAGTTGAGAATGATGGGAGCTGTACTCTAATACATCAGAGAGACACCAGGATGGGAAAAGCTGCTTCAATATGTATTGGAAGGAGTTGGTACAGCTGTTGCATTGGTCTGAAATATTTATATATGCTCAAGATCATATATATATCCCTACCCACCCCTTTCATTACTCTTTTCCCATTCAGTACACTTATGCTCCAATAGATACATTGTTCTATTGAGGGAGGTGATTCCTACTGTGAGAACTCTGTGCAGATCCATTGCTATATGAGCAGTGGAATGTGTTATGTTGTGTAAAGCTCATGCAACACCAAAGACCACAATTGTGGTCAGGCTTGTTTCCATGATTTAACGAGAAATAAAGATTGGGTTGAGCGTCATGTAATAAGGAACGTGTTTCAGAAAGAAGCGTACTGCAGAAGCACCCAGAAACAATTTAGCAACAAAGCTTTCCAAATGGGCAGGGAGCCCACACTAAGATCTAGACTCTAATCAACGCATTCAAAACACACAAATATTTGATTGTCAAAATTAAGTTCCCACAATGGACCTCCTCATAAATATTCAGCAGAAGAAACAAAGTTAATACAGCATTGATATGAAACAGTGGCTTACTGTGTTCTATTATGGAATGTAGGCCTGTTGTAAAATAGGGGAAATTCTTCTTCTTTTTTTCATTTCTTTCATCATACTGCAACTCATTCATACTGTCCTATCTTAGACTCACTGAAACTTATTGCTACAGTTCCAAATGCTGTTTTTCTCCTTTCAGTTACTATTTCTCAGCAACCAAGCCTCCCTTTCCTCTGGCAACAATTCCATTCTTGCTCTCAGCACCCTTTCTCATATTTGTAGTACTGCACTTTTAATACTGAAATACTAGGTTCTGCAACCCGTAGCATTATCTCTTATACGTTTGTATCTTTAAAGGACACTGTTTTCTAAGAACTCTCCCATTTGTACAAAGGGATGTATGCGCAGGGAAGAGAAGGGTATTTGATTTAAAAACTCACGCAGAAAGACTGGGGTGCAGCATGAGGTGATGCACATGTGGGCAAAAAGCCAGCTAATCCAGGAAGATCAGATTTAGCTGTGGCCATCAGGACCCTTGCAGCTTTATTTCATGGACAGAGGGGTGGTGTGGAAGATGGTTTTGTAAAGTTTCCGGGGTCCAATGGGTTCTCCCTAAACTGCTACTGATCAAGGATGAGCAGAAAATAGAAACTCCAGATGATCTGGACATGCTGAAAGGGGCTTCTGACACTTGGAGCCCCAAATATCTGGCTATCTACCTTCTACCCAACCCTGCTAAACAAGTCTAGGAGGGACCAAATCCCACTGAGTTCAGAGGCTTACTTCGAAGTAATTAGTATTGGACTGGGCGGCTGCCTGAGCCGAGGGCAAGCCCTATTAAGCGCAATAGGACTTACTTCCAGGTAAACATACGTCTTGAACTGTCCCAACTACGTAACTTGTGCAGGCCTCGTCAGGGGTGGCGGACGAGAAAGCATCTTCTGGAGCCTGCCGGACAGAGCCCACAAATATTTATGGGAACGACCCAGGCCACTAAAACCTTCTTTGTCTCCTTGGGGCTCAAGAGCCGCAGGTACACAACTCAACCCCCGGAGCAGCCTTCCTTCTCCGATCTGGAGCTTCCAGATGTTCTGGCCCGCAAGCCCCATCACACGCCAGGTGACTAGGAATGATGGGCGCTGATGTCTATCACACCTGGCGGACACCGGGTTGGGGAAGGAAGGCTGCTCTGGAGGATCTAACACCACCGACGTCCCTGGAGGTGCACCGCCCAAGCGCAACGCCGCTTTCCCCCGGAGGTTTGCTTTACCTGGAGGGTCATGCTGGTGGAAAAAAGAAGCTCGACGCGAAGTCCGTCCGGATCTTAGCCTCTCATCCTGCCCCTCAGCCTCTTTTAGGCGGCTTGGCTACGCAAACCTTCTCATTGGCCCGAGGGCATTGTGACGTCACCCCATGCGAACTGCACATTTTGCTAGGAGCGCGCTCCTCCGCGAGTCGCTAGGAGGGGGAGAGGCGGCACGCGCACCGCCTGCGCAGGATCGTAGCCACAGACTCGCTCGGGACACGTTGAGCGAGCGAGATCGCTAGCAAAATCATGGTGAAAGTAGAGCTCGTTTTCTTCTTTGTGTTTATCTGCCTGGTGGCTCTGTTTCTTATGGATGACAAATATTTCTAAGCTCTGTCTTCTAATTACAGGGTTCTCGAGGCAGCCCTAGTTGCACTCTTCGAAATCCGGATCTAGCCCATACAACTACGCCTGAATGTGAACTGCTAATGGAGTGCCTCCTTGTGTTGCTTGTATGTAGTGCGGCTTCATCTCATGTGTAGGACTTACTCCTTTACAATGAATTCGAACTACTCATTTGGTGCCATCTAGTGTCTATTTCTTGCAGTGTGAGTTGCTCGCTATACTGCATACATTACGTTGCTGTACCTTGGTATTAATATAAAGCATTTGAAAGTACCTCATCTGGGCTGAACAGGTGCTAATGTTCTAATACATTGTATAAGTTTAAAGACGGGCTACTTTTTCATAAGATCTTGCCATACCCCAAATGCACGTAAAACTATTTGAAGACCCTTTCCTGTTTTTGGATCAGGACTTGTAAGTTATCCAAGATGGAAAAGTTTCCTTAATCACTACAGGGGTGTTTGATATTGATAGCTTGGACTGCCACTATCACTCATAAATTTCATCTCCATAGTACAGAATCATGGTTCTTTCGAACTGGAGGTTATCTAATCCACCCCTTTCCAATGCAGAAGTCTTGCACCTACAACAGCTTCCAGGGAAGGACAGTCCACCACGTCCTGGGGCAGCCTGCTTCACTAATCAACATCACATCCTTTTAGAAAGTTTCTTGACTTCACATTTAGGCAAAATTAGAGTCCTTGCAATTTCCACCCTTGGTTTCTAGTCTAGTGGTCTGAGCAATGAGGAACATCTTCTGCAGGGTTGACCTTTATATACTGGCAGAAAGCTCTTGTGTCTTCCCAAGGGAGGCTGGTAGCACATTCTGTTTCAGAAAAGACTCCCAAAGGGAATCAGGTGACTCTAAGATGATTGGGAGGAAGGAATCCACACCACCATAATTACAATTGAATCCGGAGGCCTTCCTGAAGCAAGGCAGTCCTTGCCTGTGTTGGCTGCTGGATACCTCAGTCTTGATCAGAACAATCTCATTCCCTCGTAGAGGGAAGGGTCAACTCTGAATGGCCAGCAAAGAAATAAACTTTCAATTTTTATTTAAAACATTTATATAAATGTTTATATAAATAATATAAATTATTATGTATATTAATGCTATTTATATTTATAAAATATAAATGTATTATTTCAATGACATCTCAAGAAGTTTACAAAGGCAGTAACAACATTATAGCAGTTAAATTAAAAGCAAAGTATATTACATATATAATGAAACAACTCAAACATTGAAATACTGGGAAATTGAAAAGGTTTTAGCCTGGCAATAAAAAGAATGAAGAGTTGATGCCAGGTGTACCTTTCTGGGGAGCTGATTCCACAGCTGGAGCACTGCCATTTTCCTGGTAGCAACCTTGCTAGCCACTAGGGCTCCCAGAGAAGGACCGCCACAGATTATCTTTGGGTATATATGGAAGGAGATGCTCCTTTTAGACCATACAAGGTATAGGAGGAATGCAGTGACAAAAGCAACTGTTCAAAAAAGCCACAGTGCCCTGACACCTTAAAGACTCACAAATTTACCGTGGCATAACATGTTTCATGTACTGGCGTCAGCTGCTTAGTATTCTATTGAAAGGTATCACTTTACATGTAGTGAGAAAAAATATGGCACTTGCTGAAAAAGGATACTAGGGCCTTGATGACTGATCTCTGTTGCATCCGATTCCCCTGGACTAGCTGGCTTTTTGTCCATGTGCACTTTCCTTGCGGCTGCCTCCCTCAAATCTTTCCACCGGAGGGGTGTTTTTTTTTTTTTGGCCTTGAAACCAAATGCCCTCCTCTCCCCTGTTCAGACATCCATTTTTACAAAGAGGGTTTCCTTAAGGGTCCTTTAACCAAATGCATGCATGCACACAAACACTTAGAGCCTTTGATTCCTGCCTCAGACAGATTATTTGGGCAGTGATGGGAAAAAAAGCAAAATCTGCATCATCTTATCGATTATCTTTTCCAGGGAAATGGAGAGACAAAAGTAGAATTTTCTGCATCAGAGGCAAAAGCAAAGTGGCTGGCTTTGAGTGCAATCATGTAACTTGTGCATCTAGGAGGCAGGAGATGCCATTTGCAGCTCTGCCTTAAAAGAGCATAACATATTTGGCCCTGCCTTGGGCATGGATTTTTTCTACCATAGTGAGAACAGGTTGGTACTTATTCCCAAGTGGATGTGCTTAGCACAAGCAACCTCCATTTTATCCCAGCAGTCAACCTGGGGCTATGATGGAAGTGACGTTAAATTGCAAAACTGCACATGCTCAGAGAATCCCTTAAAATCAAAAGCAAAATCACGGTTGGCAATCAGCTTTTCGTTTGTTTTTTCCTATAACCTATCAGAAATGTTAGACATGCAGTAGTAGTTTGGGAGCCAATGTTAATTGTATACTTAGCAACCCAGGTCACAAGCCTCTCCCACACGCCGTCAAACAAGTGCAGGGCCTAACAGCTACATAATTAACTGGAGATTTGAAAGGGAAGCTCGAGTGGCAACACGGCCATCAAAATGCCTCGGGCTGCAACTGCGCCGTTCTCTTGCCTGCGAGCGTAGCAGGCTTGCGCTAAAGCGGCGAGGTCGCAGCGACCTCTAGCGGTCAGCGGAGGTGGACGTTGCGGCCTGCGCGCCTGCCTTTTGCTTCGGCCTCCTTAGGCTCCGCCTGCAACATGACCGGTCGAGTCCGGCGTGAGACGGCCTGTTCTTCCGTTTTCCTCCCAGCCGAGCTCCGGGAAAAAGAGGGCGGTGTGAGAGTGTCGCTCCTGCGTGCTCTGTTCGGTAAGCGGCTGGGGCCGGATCCGTCGCGATGGGTGGAGGGCAAGACGGTGCGCGGGGAAAGCCGTGGGAGTGCAGCCGGGTGATTCGGGGTTATGATGGACCTGGCGCCATGCCCCAAGCCGGAGCTCTCCAGAGGCGTTGGACTACCGCTCTCGGTGTCCCCCCAGCCAGTAGCGGCGCATGCTGGGGGTATCCACGCGCATGGGGCCGAATTAGGGGCAGACAGAGCGCCGCTGTTGGTCTCCGCTTTGCAAGGCGAGGCGGCTTGCTGGGGCGCTGCGGGGTGGCGACTGAGTAACCGCACGTGTCTTGCCTCCAAAGCAAACCCCGCTGCGTTTTGTGGCACTTGCTCCCCAGCATGTATGGCACGGCGCTGCGCTGCGCTGCGCTGCGAGCGCGGGGCCCCACCTGGAGTAAGGCAGCAAACGGAGGCGGGGGTCAGACGTTGGCAGGCTTTTGAGTGCGATGGGCTGCCTACGAGAACAGATCCAGCGGAGAGAGCTTGCAAGTTTCTTCCTGGTGTGGCAGATCAGTTTTTCTTTTAAACACGAAGTAGTATAAAAAATAGCCCTTCTCATTTGCTTTCTGAAGTAGCCATATCCACGTTGCCGCACCTGGACTCTTCATTCTGCCAGCCAGCTAGTGCTTGTACGCATCTTTTCCTGTCGACACTTGCAATGGATTGTTCCTTAACGGTATTAATTAGCTATCTCACCTGATGCAGATTTGAAAAGCATTATAAATTGACCCTTGTAGAAGTTTTTGTAACAGGAAGTGAGTTATACTGACATGGTATGTTAGCAAAGGATTCAAAATAATTATGTGGCGTAACTACAGTAGTGGAAGCTTGAATGCTTTACGCATGCCTTACTAATCCTTGTTGAGGTCTGCATTGCTGTTACATAGGAGGGACTGAATTTCTAGTTCCCTTCTCATCTTTGTTTCTCCTCTTTCAATTTGTTACAGTTTATTTGAATCTTTCCTGAAAGTGTAGTGTCCACAACTAGGTGCATTATTGGAGATGACATCTGACCAGTGCAGAATAAAGTGGGAGTATTGCTACTTGCAATTTAGAAATTATTCTCCCATCGATGAAACTTGAAGTTGCTTGCTTTTTTTTGCAGCCACCTCAGGGTGGTGACTTTTATTCAACTTGTGTGTGACTATAATTCTTAGATCTTTTCCGCATGTACTACTGCTAAGCCAGACATCACATTTTATACAGATGCATTTTTTTTCCTAAATGGAAAACTTTACACTTCTCTGTTAAATTGCATTGTTATATTTTGTTCCATTTTCAACACATTAAAATCATTTTGAATGTTCCTGACTTCTAAGGTTCTGGTTATCCCACTCAATGTAAATTTGATAGCCATTAGAAGTTGAGCATTGTAGAAGAGGGTGAATCAAGAGCTTGGTGATATTGACTTGGTATGTTAGTAATAGGTCAAGAAGCAAAGATATACTGAGAACCAGGTATGGCATATAAATTGTATACATCTAGATGTTGTACTTTTCTGATTTGTTCACAGTACTTGCAACTGCTTTTACTTTACAGCTTAAAGGTGAAACCATAACAGGAACATCAAGATGTCCAATCAGGAAGGGAAGGGATCAGGCCGTAAATCAAAGCAGATAAGTGTCAAGACATCCTTGAATAGTCCATATGATCTCCACTGGTGTACCTTGGATGCAGCAGATATGCACTTCATACTGGAGAGCTTAGAAGGAGCTATGAAACGGGTTGGGTTTAAGAAGATAGAGCTTCGGAGGAGGAAGAAGCCCTGCTCAAAAGAAAAGCAAAGGAAAGAACCATGCCACAGTAGTGGACTTCAAGAGGAGCATGAAATGGGAGATGCTAAAGCACATGGATGGACCAACCTGCAAATCAGGAACCAGCTTGCTATTGGGATCAATGAAGTAACTAAAGCTCTGGAAAAAAATGAATTGCTGCTTGTGCTGGTGTGCAAATCTGCTAAACCAGCCTTACTTACATCTCACCTTATTCCACTCAGTGCAAGTCGGGCAACCCCAGCAGCCCAAGTTCCACGCCTCAGTGAAAGCCTAGCACCAGTGCTTGGCTTAACATCTGTTCTAGCACTAGGATTGAAGAGGAATGCAGATGCCTTTGCAGAAGAAGTCAAAATGATTATTCCGCGAATACCTAGCTTAGATGTGCCATGGATTCAGCACGGAACTGAACAGATCTTGGCAAGTGCAGATACTGATCTGATGGATATGCCAGAAACAGAACTCTCAGAAACAAACTCAGAAGAGAGCTCTCCTTCTCACAAGCGAAGAAGAAGGGACAGCTGCATACTCGCCTCTCCTAATCTGGCTTTGCAGGCACTTAAGGTTAAAAAAATAGTTCCCAATCCATCCAAGAAAAGGAAACTTCCCAAAACTAAAAAACGTATTTCAAAGTAACTATATTGGGCTGGTCCCTCTGCTGTATATACCTTGGTTTTTTAAAAAAATCTAGTAAAAGTGATATAATGGTAAAAATTTACTATGCTCACTGATTTCTTTAGAGGTTACAATATTGCTAAGAACTGTGCCACAATATTCAGGCTAATGTCCTGGGTTGTATTTTGCACCATGTATACTTCGAGAATGAACCTAGTAGTGCTTCAAACAAAGGTGTTTTAGAGAAAACATAAGTATTCAAAACAAAATAGTAGGAAAGTGATACATTTATTCAAATATCCAACTATAGTCTCAATAGCTGGTCATCTGTTAAAATGCTGGAATTGCAAACATCTGCAGATTTGGAATTAGAGTGTTTTCCCTTTTAATATTTTTCTCCATTGGACACTTGCAGTTGTGGTCAAATAATGCATGCAGAACTGAGCCTAGGTGCATTTACCTTTTAATATAGGAATATTTTCTCTAGTTTGTTGGTTCAAAATTTTGGTTGCAAGTCATAATGTCATTGCAGATTTTGTGATGTAGATTTCCTAAACCAAGTTCTATCATATTCTGATTAATAACATGCTAACTACTAAAATTGCCTGTCAGCAGTTAAAATAGTAGGGCAAATAGTTGTTCAGAATAATGTTCCTTCAAGAATATGCTATATTATAAATAATAGCAATAGGGAGTTAGGCAATAATGGCTATAAGAACTTAATGCATTGCAAGCTAAGTTACTACTGTGTTTATCCACAATGCTAAACAATTGTTTAACATTATGTGGACAAGACTCTGTGAAACCAAGTGAAGTGGGGGGCTTGTGTTTGCTCCCAGCCTTTAGTTTCACTTAAAGCTGTCTCTTGTTGGTTGCAAAAGAAAGCAACGATAAACCCTGGTTTGTCTAGCTGGCTTGTTTGATAAACTAGAATTCACTTTAAACCATGGTTCTTGCATAGCAGTAAGGAATTGGGGAAACAGAAAACAAACCCTACAAAAGCCCTTTTCCTGCCAACACAGTGAAGTGGGAGTGTTTGAGGCTTTGCTGGGCTGCACTAACCCCCTGGCTTAGTGTTATGTATTGACTATTTTTAGTCAAGTAAAAATTACCAGTATATATTATCTGAGCTTGCGGTTAAAGTAGTTTGTGGTTAGAGTTATGAAAGATCAAGTTATCACATGGGCATGCCAGCAATGTGTTGTATCTGACCTTTCCAGAATGGGTGAAGAATAATATTTTTAAAAGTGTCTGGAACTGTTTGGTGACATCAGTCAGCAAGTTCTCCACTATTCAGACTGTTCCCACTTATTTAGTGAAGGAGGAGGAGATTGCAGTTTTGAGTCCTTCCTCACTTTTATTTCTCCCCACAAATTTCAGAAGTTTAAAGCATTGTAACAATGTTTTTCTCCAGTATGCTTGCATGTGGTGAATCAATGTTTTAAATTTTCCAGGGCACTGCTAAATACCCTAATCTCTTCCCCTACCAAGTGATTTAATTAGGATATCCACATTAAATTTATATCTAGAGAAGCATGGACTCCTTCATAAGGAGCCATGTACAAATCCACTGAGAAATCAATTTGGGATAACAGCCTTCGCTCTTTTACAGCTTTTTCCATTGGTAGCTATTGTCAGAGGATAGGTATTTGTTGCAAAGTAGAAAAGGCTTCAGCATATTTTAAACTCAGTGGATCAGTAAGGCTGAGATAGAGAGAGATGCACATAGTTATGCAAGGGTATACATTTGCTTACGTAAGGGACAATGCAATCCCTTTGCTCTAAAATCAAGGATCATACTATTACTGCTAGTAACACTTTTACACAAACATACTTTATGGACATTTTTTAAAAAAGGAAAAAGACAAAAGGAATATGTGCAATTTTGCAATAGCATTGAACACATTCATCCTTAACACAGCTTGATAATACCAATATTCTTAATTTTATATACAGACTGCTCTTAACTTTCCACCAAAAAAGTAAAGCATTTTCCTTTCTCAAAGTTGTTAAATGAATAGTGATAGGATTCAGGCAACATATACACAACTGCACTAAACAGTGCAATACTATTGAGTCAAGTCAGTGATCTACTGAAGATCAAAGTACAAATCTGTATTTTTATTGATTTGGCAGCATTGCTTATGGAGAAACAAATGCACTAGTCAAACCAGCACATTTCTGTACCACTCCACAGTTACAAAAGACATCCAAGATTTCCATGTTTCCTAACAAACAGTCATACTCCCAAGACTTTCTCCTTTTCAACGATGACATCCATGTAATGGAAATAAGCAGAAATATTCAAAATTGGCTCCTTCATTTTGTTACATTGATAAACGTACACTACCACTTAATAAATAGAAATGCAGCAGGTTCAGTTACATTAACAGTAAAGAATTTGTACTCTATTCCACCACTGCCATTGAGTTGTTGTACAAAAAACAGTCTTTTACGCAGAGCTGAGGAGAGGGAGGGCAGGGAGAAAAGAACCCCTTTTGTCAAGATGCGAGCTAAGCGTTGAAAATTAAACAAATGTGCTTTATTTCTTTTCATCGACAAACAGTAAAAGGTTCATGAGCTTTTCCCCTTCGGAGGTGAAGGTGTGGAGGGCTGTTTGCACATGGATTTCTTCACTCCCTCCTGCATGCCCCCCAAGGTTCAACAGATTAAAGTTCATCAGGCATTGTGCTTTTACTCCTCTTGAATTGTCCTGCTTCAAGAGCTTCCATCAGGCCAGATGATTACTTCCAAGAATTATAAATACAAGTGTCCTTTCTCCTTATTGTAATACAAGACCAACCTAGAAAGACAACATGTACATGTTAGTGTTAAGATAAGTAGGAAAGTGTGGATATTTGAACATGTCAAGACCTTGCTTAGAGGGCACTTAACAATATATATTCATAGGGAAACATAATTGGGGGTCAAAAGTACAGAGCACCTGGGTCATTCAGATAACTATGGACCATGCTTCCCCAGCCTGATACCCTCCAGATGCACGTAAAAAGAACCAAGAGCAAAGTTCAATCCAGATGCCTGTAGCTGTCCAAACTAGGAGGACTGCAGGCATCCTATGCAGGGTGGAAGGAGCATGGAGATTGCCTCCATGTTCTTCTCACCCTGTAAAATACTTAGATGACTAGCTTCAGCCAAGTATGGCCTCTTGTAGCACGAGGGAAGGAGGCTGTGGTGTCACTAAGATATCTCATAGCTTGGTGCTGGTTTCTTCCCCTGCCCACTCTCTGGATTACCCACTCATTTTTTTCTCCCAAGATTGTGAAGCAGCTGGTGAGGTCCTTCTGTACAAGCTGTGGGTAGGGAACAGGTCTTGGAGTTCAAGCTCTAACCTCAGAAAGTTGCTCCAAGGTGGGAGCTGGGACGCTGAACAATCCTATGGCCATCCAGATGCTGTGTAATAGCTGTACTGTAATGCAAGTATGTTTTGAGTGTATTACCTTTTCAGAATCCATGCCAGGACACCTCCAGTTATACAAGTAATACTGCAAGTTGCCATCTCCAATACCAAATTTCAGTTTTTCCAGGAATGTTTTGTTTTCCATCAAGTCTAGTGCATTGAACACATCAAATCCTTTCTGACAATATAAAGAAATTATACATTGACTTTCTAACAGAATTATATTAAGATATGCCGTCACTTGTTCTTAGGAGGAATATCCTGCCATCTGATAAGCATTTTGGACCATATCTCACATTTATACTTCCCACTCCCTGTGCACATGGATAAGCTCCCAAATAGCTTTATAAATGTTTGCATACATCTAAAAAATGTACAGAATCTTTCACTGCCAGATAGAATTATATGCAGATGTGCTACATGCAACATTTACAGCTCTTTCCCTAAGGATCTGCATGATCCTTACTATTCATCTTAGGGTGAAAAAAAAATACTGCACTTATGCTTGCAAAATGCAAGTTCTTTATTTTAAGCTGCTTAGACCTGTAGTTTGTGCAAAGTAATCCCAACTTATTTTGGTCAACAATACTGCCGTAAGAATTGATACGAACTCATTAAGCACACAGGAAAAAAAAAATCCATTGTTAACCTTTCAACTCACAACTCTAGTGTTTAGAAGGTAGGATGTATACAACAGAATGATCTGTCTGGAAACAAATACACCTTTTTTTTTAAATGGCATCCATATTGGTGATGAATATAGTAGAAATTGGTAAGTTTTTTAAATTTATAGCCACTCATCTAAAATGTGTTATGCCATAAATAGCATGCAAAGAACATATAACTATTGTTTTGAAAAAACTAACTTTATACATGCCAAACTATATAAAAACTGAGGAAATTGGAAAAAGGGAATAAATTAGGAGGCCACAACACACTGCAAGTAAAAGCATTTCAAGAATTTGTGTTTATCACATTTCTATTCCTGTCTTTTCTCTGCCTCAGGACAAGATGCACAAGGCTATCCCCAATTTGTTTGTTTTTTAGTAATATTGATAAACGGCTGCTCAGTATCCAAATCTTGTTGCATTATATCCAATAAGTGTTTACCTCCTGTTTTCCTCTTAGCTGCTCCTCCTGTAGGTTTTATCAAAATGCACGAGTCCCAGTGCAGGCATTCCAGAGATTTCTACATTTTATCTGCGTTCATGAAGTGTTTTACAACTGTCATTTAAATTTTATACCACCTTTATGGCATGAAATCCTGAAGCTAGTTAACCCAGCAAGTATTATGGCTCGATGGAGAGTTGAGCCTTGGTCTGTTGCTCAAGCCAAAGACCTGATGCACTGTACAGTACTATAGTATTTCCCCTATATGTGATTGGTGCCTCATGAGTTCAAGCACCACCCCCATATATGTACGAGTGGAACCTTATACTTCTTTTGTTAAGCACACGGTTAACATTTCTCTTTGCCTGTTCCCTAAATTGTCACTCAATCTTTACAGCTGCTTCTATAGAGCTGATATACTACCAGAATAACAATCTGCCAACCCTGATGCAACAAAATAATTGTCCTGCCACTGCCTAGGCAGTAATTGGAGCCTCACCTGGCCCCCAAATCCGGCTGAGTTCCCCCACTGTACTACTTCCATGACAAAATTAATGTTCTGCGAACTTTTGCTCAAAGTGTCACTTATCTTAGGGTCTGCTATGCTTTTAAGTAGTGGCACTGGGTTATCATCTTCCACATTTATGAACAGGGAAGATAATCTGGTCATTTGTTTAGGATGCCAGTTCAGTGAGATATGATATAATAAGAACCAAATGCTTCCTGCAAATTGCCTTACTAGCAAATCCTATAGAAGAACGATAGTTCAAATTACAAATGTCTTCCACTTGACAAAGTTGTCACTGAGTTGACAAAGAAGAGGGCAGGTTGTCCCAGAAGCGGAGTAGATTTCACTATCTAGTTTCAAAAACACAAGCCTAGTGCATAGTATTTTATGGTAATTTATTTTATGTATTGTGCATTACATGTCTGAAAAGTATTTAAAACGCTAGAAAGATTGTTTAGGAACAAAGATAACCTGTTAAGTGTTTAGTCTAACATGGCAGTTAACACCTATTGATGACTTTAATGCTGCCTCTGTATTCCAGAAGGTCAAACCAGTTAGGAGTTTGTATCCAGTACTGAGCTGTGGTGTGAAGTCTGGACATCCCAGGCTGCACAGGCAGTCTGTTAAACTGGGACAGGAAAGCCACATTTTTGTATTGACTTTTCTCCATCTTTCTGCAGGATAAACAGTCCTGCAAAACATGGGTTTAGAACTTCTCAGTGCAGTCCAAAGTTTTGGGATTTCAGTGCTTTGGATGCATCCCCATTCTCCTCCTCTGTCACAAGCTGTGTGGCACCTCTGAGTAGTGACTGAAAACTAAAGTGACAGACCTACTTACCATCTTTGCTATAATGAGTGCATCATTCATTAGATCCAAGAGGGGAGTCTCTGTATGAACGTTGTAGAAGGAATAGGCGGCTTTTAGGCTTTTATGAACAGGATGGTGCATGACCGTGGAAGGTAATGTATAGAAACTCAGAAAGTCAGTTAAAATACCATTTGAACTCTGTAAAAATAAAAAAGAAGCTACAAGTGAGGAATCAACATAAAAGAACTAAGCATACGATGGTTTCTTCAGTAACTCAGTTGGCTACACCAACTAAAAAGCTAGGAGAAAACTACTGCAGCTAAAATGTAGCTGATTTGTTGAGTCTACAGCTAATCAAAATGCACCTATAATGTTAAACTTCTTTCAAAACCAATAATGACATGTCAATCATGATCTCTAACAGCCCTTTTCTAGTCAAGAGTAGGCAGCTGCTGATCTCCTTTCGAAAGACCCGGCAGGCCAGCAGTTCAGATCTCCAGCAAGAGTGATTTGCCCTCACAGGACAGCAGACGGCTGAGGAAGAAGAGGGAGCAGGTGGGGGTGAAACCAGCAAAAAGGAGCTGGCCTTGCCCATTTCATTCTTCGACTTATAGCAGATTATGGAATGCACGTGGCCTTTGGCAGAAACGAGGGCTCTCCTGCAGTTGGAGCAATGAGGTTGGAGATGCTAATTGTTACATTTCTGTCTCAAATGGAGCTTACAACAAGGCAATGCATTTTTAATCCTCACAATTGGCCTGTACTGTAGGTCAGGTTAAGAAGCAAGAAGCAGCTTCACAGCTGCTCATCTCCTGGGCTGAAGCACTCTGACCCAACCTGTTTTGGGCTGCATGCCTGGCTGAGAATGAGGGTTGGGAATGGCTGCTCCGATCACTACACCACATGGACTTCCTTCCGACTCCAGTGGCAAAGCGTACAGCTTGCAGTTGAAGTAAGAAAACAGCACCCTGCAGAGCAAGGCACCTGCTCCATCTCAGCCCTGGCAATCTAGCCTAGATGATTTGTTAGGCATGTTTGCCTTCATTTAAACACAAAACCAAACTAAGTGAATTGTGATTGTCACTAGGACAGTTAGGGACAGCTGAAATAAGACATTCTGGTACAGAGTTTTACTACAAGGGAGAGATGTCATATCCAAGACAAGCCATAGTAATGCTATACTTTCCATGAGCAAAGTGGATCTCAGGCTCATTTACTCGCTCATCACGCATGAGAAGGCAATGGAAGCATCCGATGTTGCCTTTAGTGGAGCTCCTTGTTATGTCTGAACTTGGGGATCTTTGATTATGCTAGTTCAGCCTTCCCCAATGTGGTGCTTTCCAGATAAATATTCAGGCCACCTGTCAGCTCCCAGTGCATGGGAAGAAGTGTGCTCACTTGCTTTGGTAGGATCATGGCTAACTATTGGTTGTTTAATCCAAAGTTAGTCACTTTGTGCACACCAAGACATAACAAAGCCTTCTAGGATGGCATCAAGCTAGGGGCAGGCACATGGGAGGTGGCAGACTTTTAGATATCCCCACTCTAAGCCGGGATTTATTTTATACCAGGATGATGAACCTTCAGCTCGGGTCAATTCTGGTTTGCCTGGGGATGCAGTCCAGCCATCTAGGATTCTCCAGATGGCCAGAGTCCCTTTGCTACCACACAACTCTCAATCATTTGGTGGTTTTCCTGGCCTTTTTTCAACATTTTCCTCATTTTTAAAGGCAGAAACGCCTCTCCAAAGGCAGTAGGAGCTTTAAGGTAAACTGGGCTGTTGGTTTTGGCTCTGTTCCTTTTGTCTTTGAGGCCTTCTCCAAAATGGAATTCAGCCCTCAGGCCAAACATCTGTTTTAATTTTTTTTAAGCCTTGCCTTAAACCACAAGGTCCTCACAAGGCAATCTGCAATTCAAGAAGACAACACAATAAAGTGAAACCAAGGCAAAAAGGACAGCAAAACAGACCCTTGGAGGGAGAGGTGAGACTAGAACAAGAAACTATCTTTTTACCTCTACAACAAAAGTGTCGATAATGTGATCCTGAGGCAGGAACCAATGGGCCACTTCATCTTCATCCATAACAGGAGCGAGATAAAACTGCTTCAAATAATTGTTAATTAATTCTTGTACTGCTTTAATATCTTTTTGCTCCATAGGTCTCAAACCTGATGTTTTTGTAGCCTTGTTTAAAAGGAAAGAAGACACAAAATTAAAGAAGAGCTTATACATAAAGTTGGAGTTTTTTTTTTTTTAAAGCAAGGTATTCTTTGCACCTTATGTTAATAGATTTCCTGAACCAGGTCTCCTCCAGATCAGACTACAACTCTCATTAGCCCCAAGCCAGCATGGCCAAGAATGCTGGGAGTTGTGGTCAAAAACATCTGAAGGGTGCTATGTTGGAGGGGGCAGTTCTGCGAGGATCCAAAAGAACTTTCAGGCTACTGATGGTTTTAAAATGTAATAAATACAAATGAGCAAGGCCAAATTAATGTATAGTTTTACACCAAGAAAGCCATAACAGATACATAGTGCAGGGGTGACCAGACTTGCTCAACAGAAGAGCTACGTTGATAAATGTCAGATGTTTGAGAGCCGCAAGTGGGGGCCCACATGGCGAGCGGCGAGCAGGCGCTTGTAGGCAGCAGTGACGGGGGGAGGGGTGGCAAGCGGGTCCCTGCAGGTGGGAGCAGCAAGCCACAAAATAAACCCTTATTTTGGCCACTTCTGCCATAGTGTGAGGGTGGGGGGTGAGGTTGATTTTTTAAAAGGTGGCCTTATTAAGACCTTTGTCTTGGATCCCACTGGGCAATGGAACAGAACCGCCTCCCCAAACTGCTTGCCTAGTTAGGGAATGACAGAAGGGCGACTTAGGCCTCACAGTAACAGTGAGGGGGCTTGGTTAGAAGCATTGCTTACATCAGGAAGTCTGTACAGCTTCATCGTTCTCTGTAAAGTCATATTTCTACTCAAATGAGAAAATTTCACCTCTACCAATTTTCTGGGGTTCAACGATCGATGCCAATACCTGGAAATAAAAATGTTTTTTTTTTAATTAAAAAAAATTAATTAAATTAATTAACTGAGATTAAATTAATCTCACTCAATACTAGTTCCTAGGTAAGCACTCCTCCACCTGCCCATCAAGAGAAATTCTTAAACTATCCAATGTAAGGTAAAAGGTGCACCTGCTATGTGGAAAGAATCCAGGCAGTTGCAGATTGCAACACAACAGAATTTCTAAGTCTTGTTTTACTAGTTATGTAGAAACATGTCCCCAAAAGCACCTGTGCAGTTTTAAGCACTAGCAGGGACCACTAGAGGCACAAAACATGAACCACAGAGAGCCCACTGAACTGAGTGGGACTGAACAGACGTAAGGGTGAATTATATCCCATGGTTCCCAGTGCTGTACATCAGTCTGCCACCACCTGGTGCCTTCCAGATATACTGGACTGCAACTCCCATAATTCCAAATCAGTTACAACTCATCTGAAGGGTAGCAGAACAAGGAAGGCCATGCTGGCTATTTCACAGTGCAATTGTGGAGCTGTCTACTCAGAAGTAAGTCTTTCATGAGGTATGTGCTAGCACCACAATCTTCACCTCTGCCATATTTAGAAAAACCAGCTACATAAAACTGGACCAAATCAGACTATGTGCTGTTTTTCCTGGAAAAGGATCTGAAAGATTTCTGCTGATGATACGCCATCTAGTATGCACTGCAAAGACCCTGCAAAGTGTCACTGTGTTTCAGGCAAAACGAGGTGTGCTTTTCTTTACTGCTTCTGCACCTTAGTCTGCTGTTTTTAGCTTTAAAGTTGGATGCTTTGCTGCTTGCTTAGAAAGAAAATGTTCAACAAGCCCCAACATGCTGGCTGGAGCTTCCCAGGAGTTGTAGGTCCTCTTTGTCTAAACGTGTATAGAATTGCACCCTTGGTCTTGCCAGATGTACAACAGTTGTTTCCTCTTACAGTAAAAAGGCTGCCAATATGTGAATCCAAAGCAGTTACGTGTGCTATATGTGGCATGCATTCATCTTTCAATAGTTAGCATATTGCTTAAATAAACTTGCAGAAGTGTGTTTTAGTAAATGCTGAGCAGATAACATATGCAGCCTCGGTCCTTTCCTTCAGTTAAAAAAAGTCAGCGCTAGTTGGATAACACCAGTGGTGTGCAAGTGGGAGCTTCGACGTGCAGGCACTCACTGCGAGTGCCTCATAGCCACCGCAAACCTTCGGGCAGTGGCCTGGCCCATGTCAATAAACTACCTCCAGCCATTTTCGCTTTTAAGGACCAGGACTTTTATAAAGCAGTTGGGTCATAACTACCCATTCAAGACAAGCTACCCTGGCATCTTTGCATTAAAAGATGGAACAGTGCATTGTTGCCCGGCAAATTCATCCCTCTTGCTACCAGTGACTGTGCAGGTTGCAGCCAAGCCACAGAGGAATTCTGAGGGTGGTGGGGGAGGGATGGCAGACAATGTCAGCATTCCTGCTAATAAAAAAGCCCTGGCACTACATCCCCGTGAGACCTGGTTCTGCCACACCTCTGGAAAACACTGCACCAGCATCTACTGTGCAGCCTAAATATTTAGTGGTGAGCTGAACTCAGTAACATTTCAGGTAGAACAGAATCTTGTCTGGGGCCAGAGTTGAAAGATGCCAGCTGACAATACAAGCAGAATTATTTTTTGCTAGCTGCATTCAAAATCTTTTCCATTATTTTCTCTATATCCCGCTTCTCTCAAAGATGGCTCCACAGCAGTTTTCATGGGATTTCAATGTAAATTTGCCTGCATAGTCTCATGCTGCCATCATGTGACACCTCAACCAAGAGTTGTTTTCTTCTTAGGGAGAATGGGTGAGAAAGGGCTGCACCAAATGTTTGCAAAGTGAACATTCAGGTGCAAAAAGTCTGTTTTCACGGGCCTGAAAAATTCTAATTCAGGGGATCAGATGCATCAGAGAATATCAGGGCCATTTATTGTATTTTTTCTATGTCTTTTTCAATGCCTTAAAACAATTTCTTCCGTGTTAATCATACTGTTAGGTTCCTCCTAGCAAGAGGATTCCAGCCAGTCAGGGATCACATTGTCTGTGGGATGACATTCCATGCCATGCAGTAAATCCAATTTGGCCACATCAGTAAGCCACAAGGTCAATAAAAACTGAGAATATTTTCTGTGAACAAGCAGGCCAGAAAATGCATCCCACTGAAAGAACAAAACTGTTGGAAACAGCATTCTAATCCATTAAAATTGTGCAGCTTATTTAACTTGTAACACAGTAAGGATTTTAATAATATTCCTATACTAGTGTACATCTATTCACTGTTATCTGGTATGAGCGGCTTCTTAAAAAAAAAATCCCTTTGTTTGGGTCTATGACTCACAAGGCAGTTAAAATAAGCAATGCTGAAAGTATGGATAAGCCCTAAAAGAGCTGGGAATCTGCAATATCCTCTAGCCCAGTGGTGGTGAACCTATGGCACATGTGCCACAGCGGCCATGCAGAGCCCTCTCTGTCGGCACATGAGCCAAGTCGCCCCAGCAGCACAGCATCGGATAACAGCGCACATAGGGGCCATGCACATGCTCGGAAAGGAGTAGCGGCACCAGGCAATGACATCACAAGCTGTGACTCATTAGCCACAACTCGTCTGAGCTTTCACATGCCCAGTTAGTGCACTGCCAAGGATATATATATTTGCTTGGACTGGCTGTGGATTGTTTTTTCTAACCTAAAACCTCAGTTTTCAGGTTTTATTGTAGTGTTGGCACTTTGTGATAAATAAGTGGGTTTTGGTTGCAGTTTGGGCACTCGGTCTCTAAAAGGTTAACTTTAGCCCTATATTAGGGTTGGGGTGTACACCAGGGTAGGGTTCAGGTTACAAAAACAAGGTGCCCTGGCATGATTTTGATGCTTGGGATGTGTTTAGAATGGGCAGAAATGTTGAGCTGTGCAGAAAAAGCTACTCAAGGGAGGCTTTTTCAAAATCACCCTCTTTTCAATGGAACTTTAGTCCTGTATTAGGGTTAGGGGTGTGCACCAGGGTAGGGTTAGGGTTAGAAAAACAAGGTCTCCTGGCATGATTTTGATGGTTGGAATGTGCTTGGAATGGGCAGAAATGTTGAGCTGTGCAGAAAGAGCTCTTTCTTTAGACACTGCCCAGGCTACAACATTTATAACACCAAATGATGGACTGGTTTCAATTAGGGATATGGGAGGAATCCGTTTGGGAGTGGACCTGAGGCCAAGTTCCCAGTGAACACGTCCAGCATTCACAGGGCACTTGTCAGGAATCAAGTCTCGTGTGTTGTACAAGCAGTTCCCCTCCTCTGTGCCTGGTGGCATTGCCACTGGTTGCACAAGCACAGAAGAAAGCTGGTCGCTGGGGTCATCAGGAATGGTGCCTGGTGTGACTGCTGGCAGTGTCCCTCTTCTGTGTCCTGCAGCCACTCTTTGGGTGGTTGGACCTGACAAGGAAGGTTGCTGCTTCCACAACTGGAGGTCTGCAACAATTCACACTTCCTCTTGGCTCAGCTCATTTTGCAGGGCTGGGCTGCACAAAGGAAGTGTGTGAATGCTAGAGAAATGGATTCTGAAAGTATTTGTCCCAATCCTGGTTAAAGGACACTGAGTGAAATCAATGGGAAAAGGAATAGCTTAAGTCCCACTACTCTAAGCATGACTAAGTTTAGATCAAACCAATTAATATCCATGAGCCTTCAAAAAGCAACAAGTATCTCAGAGATAAAATGCCTTACCTGCATGTTGCGACAGGCTTAGGAAGTACCACTCCTGCAGTGTAAACTGCCTGAAAAATCCCTTCCAAGTTTACTCTTCTGGTTATTTCACGAATCAGTACTGGTGCGACTCGCTTAGATCTCAGTTTTTTATGGACACACAGAAAATTAATTTCTACCATTTTCTTCTCACTGGAAATAAAAAATTATAAACCACTATTTTTACAAAAATCCACCTGAATATTCTATTATATGTTGTCTGTCGCAGTGCAGAGAAAGAATACAAATTCTTGTCCTTAGGAGTATGCAGGGCTTTTTTTTGGTCATAGAACACACCCAAATGGCATTACGGCACCTTTTTTTGACAGATTTTTCCAACAGATTTTTCCAAGTGATTTTGAATCGCCCTGTCGGGCATAACAGGTCAGTGGCAAAAATCATTAAAATAGTGCATGCGGGCTGCTTGTTTGTCCGCACTGATTGTGAGGGTGCTGCTCAGCTTGGGATGCTGCTCGGCTTGGGATTGGTCGTGTGGTCACGCGCTGAGTGCTTACTGCCAGCGGCGACCGTTATGTTTTTGTGTGTGTAGAGTGACTGGCTACGTGCAAAAGGTAAATAATTTCTTTATTTTAAAAAAAGTTGGTGAATTGAAAATCTTTTTTTAATTTTTAGTGTAAAAGTGTGACCCCAAATTTAAAAATGAAAAACATTACTAATTACTTCTCAACCACCAGTCCTGCTAATAAAAGATTACCCTAAAAAAACCCTAAATAAAAGATTAACAAGATGCAAGTTCTGGCACTTTTTTTTTTTTTTTTACAAAAAAAAGCACTGGGGGTATGTAAGCATACATCAAGGAGAAAGGCAGAAATGGAGCGTGCAAGCTGTTATCTTGTCTAGGAGTCGGGGTGAGAACAAATAGATCATCAGATGTTTCAGACTACATCTCCCAGCATTCCTGACCACCATGTTGACAGGAGCTTTTGGGGGTTAAAAGTCCAAAACATCTGGAGATGTGTCTTCTGCTTGCCCCAGTCTATGCAATGTAGTGCTTGAATTCTGGGGCAGGGAAATGTGAAAGGCTTTCCAACAGGTCCACAAACACCACTCCAGCTTTTCCAAATTTTATCCAGATCACACATAATGTAGCATTTGAAAAATGGTTGGTCTGAGGCTTATCACAAAAATCCCACCATAATTCAAATGGTGATGTAAAACACCAAAATGGAATTGCAAATAGAGGAACTGAAAGCCAATTTCATAATTCGAGTTACCCCATATTCTTCTGCAAGTATGTTTTCATACATCAAGCTGAATACTCAGTTCACCTTGTGCTTTCCTCTCCTCCAACTGCTGCAATACGTGAAACCTCCACAACCTTTAAAAACAATGCTGAATTCAGCACCAACTCATCTAGTAAAAGAAAAGCTTGGCAATTTCAACCAAGAAAGAATTGTGGTAGGTCAATGCCATTTCTTATTCTGGAAGTAATGTGCTCTTTGCATATTGTATGCCACCATATAACATTAGGCACACATTTTCCCCATCTCCTGTTTTAAATCCCACATGCCTCTGGCTGTATAAGCAAAATACATTTTGTAATCATATCTGGCGCTCCCGCCTGAGCTCTGTTTTGCAGGGGAAGTTCATTTGGATAATTCCTTTGCAAAGCTTTTCATGGCTAGGCAAAATCTTCCCATTTTAAAGTAGTTTTTTTGTATTTCAGAACTGCTTGCTCATTTTAGATGTTCTTCCGCAAGATCATCTTTCTTTTTTTAAATTGTGCACATATTTACGCAGGAGCTGGTGGTTTGCAAGCCGCTGTGGGAAACCTTGTGTGTGTTGCACTGCAGACAAATAAGCTTTTAAAAATAAGCACATAAAATATATTCACCACGATGCTCTGTCAGTAGAGATTCGGACGGCAGCACAGCCTTTACTTTGGTCCTCCCTATGTTTAAGAGGTCACCGGCTCTCTCACCGAAATCAATGATACTTGTGCAGCAAATGAGGTTGTTCCTCATAGTAACATGCTCCCAAGTGGCAAAACTTCTACGGCAATATTTTCCCTGCATTTCTCCCTGTCCATGCCAGGATTATTTATTTATTTATTTAATTTCAGTCCGGTTAATTACAGACTGTGTTCCATAAATGATAGGCACCAGCTCACTCACTGGTGGTGGAGCTGGCAAAGGCCAGCGCTTAACTGGACTTTCTGTATGATGGAGGGTTGTGTGTTTTCCCCTTCATTAAAATTCCTGCTACAAAAAATATGGCAGCATCTCCTCTTCAAGTCAGTGATCAGCATCCACAGTTTTAGGAAAAATTTGAATGCAAGCTGTTTGACCAGGATAAGGACCTGGGTTTGTGCTTCGGGACTGAAAGAGGAATGCAGGACTAAGTGAGGAAGGCGATCATGTTCATGCAGGGGATGGAAGCACAGGTGAGAACACAGCTCAGAAACTGCTGATGTTGCTACATAAGCTCTGATATAAAGCTGGATACAGGACACCCTTTCTTTCTGTCTCTCCAGTCCTTTGATGAATGTCGTGGTTATAATTCCATGTGTGATACAGAAACAAAATCATACCTCACCATAAAAAAAAAATGATAAACTGAAAAGTCACAATTTTTAGATAAGTTTAAAAAGCTGTACTGCATAACTGAAGAATAATTTTTAAAATTAGTCCATGCCTGATATAGAGCAACATCTTCTGAGAAGATGTTGTTGATGAGGACATGAGAGACCTTCCTGATCAACACCCTAAAATGGATGATCTTCTATGGGGCATCAACTGTATACAGGATTTCAGTTTCAAAATACATTTAAAATCATTCCAGCATGTTCCCAAGCCATTCCCTACAATTCCTTAAAAATGCAACCACCAAATGCTCTGTTATTTTTATTGTAATAAATAATCATGTAATCATTTATATTTTAAATGTATTGTTTTAATCAACCTTAGCTAAGCCTGGAAGCTGGTTTGAACACCATTTTTTGATGGAAACGTGAAGTACAATCAAATAAAGGACTGTTAGTCCTCCAACAGTCAAAGTTAACATACACAAGTTGGTTTTTTTAAATAGAATCAAAAAAGGTCAGGGCATACCTTTCATAAATTCGAATGTGTGCAGGAATAGCACTTATGAACCCTACCAATTTTCTATTGGATGAAACTCTGACTCCACAGTGCCATTGTGGAAGCCAGCCTGGAGGTCGCAGGGCCCTGAAATCAGAGCAGAAGAGAGCAGACATTCAGAGACAGATTGACCTTACTCCTAAACAGCTTAACATTTGCTAAGCACTATACAGAGATTAAGGCAGTGGTGTTAGGGGGCAGCTCACGAGGAGCTGAGCCTGATATTTTTTTCCATTTGGAGCCCAGATGAAGTCCATTTAGAGCCCAATTTTTCAGGTGGAATCTCTGGGAGGCTGTTTGCCCCACCGTGCTGTCCATGGGCACTTGCCAGAATAAAGGTATGGGGCCCTTTTTGCCCACATTGGCGTCACCAGCTCCTGCCCCCGATTCCGAGTTTTTTTCTGAAATCAAATGCCTTCCTTTTCCATGCGATACATCCCTTCTTATAAATCAAACAGGGGTGTCTTTAGGAGACATGCCCTTTAATACACACACACACTTCAGAGCAAATATAAAGTATGCAAATTTGCTCCTTTTTTTTAGCCCGAGCCCCACCCTGTAACATTGTACTATTCCTCAGACTTGCTAGCTAATAGACATGACATGAAACCTAAGGGATGGAAAGAGGAAAGCAAGAAATCCAGAGATTACTTCACCGATTGCTATGTGAGATAGAATGGAATTTGCTACTCACCACAAAAGAAATTCTGGCGAATAGTCAAATCTAAACATGTTATCATCATCTTCTACATAGTTTTCATTTAGCAGCATGTACAACTCCTTTAGCTGAAAAAGCATTAAGGGGAAAGCAATGAAGCAAAGTGCCCCGACTCGGCAGCCAGCAGCTCTAGTGCCTATGTGGGAGAATCATGCCCACATACATTTCCCTGTGAACAGGCGTGTCTCATTTATTCCAACACCTGGCAAACAATCCTGTGATGCCCAAGGAGAACGATGCACACAGAGCATGCACCAGCAGCAAAATGAAGTTGCTGTGGGTCCCCATTGGTGCGCAAAGAATTACAGCAGTTCTACTTACAACTTCAGCATTGCTCAGGTCCAAAGTGTCCCATGTAAAACCCTGTGGTAAAGAATATGGCTCTAGACGGATGTTGTCCTTATCTGGTTCAATTGCACCATGCGATGTTATAACTTCACCTAGTGTGAAAAGAAGGCAAATTTCACTGCACACAAGTTGGGCACATATTTGAAAAGCAATCATTTCTTCTGCTATTTTGTGTGTGTGTGTGGTGGGGAGGAAGGTTCACTGAACAAGTATGGAGCAAAAATTTCAGAGTATACTAAACTTTAGCTTGTTTATATTATTTTCTCTTTTTCTGATTGCTCTAGCCTGCCTGAGAGCAGAAAGAAAGGAGGGGGGGAATAGATGGAGAATGCAAGGAAGCACAATCCTACTGCCCAGTGGGACTGAGATCTGCAAAGGGTTAACTGCCAGAAAAAGAGGTTCCAGGTTGCTAGGAAGAGAAGCTGTAGACTGATGCGCGCTTTGGCAGCTGGGGGAGGGGGGATTTGGGGGTGGGAAATCAGGAAGACTGGTTTGGGGAGGCTTTATTTCACTGCGTTTACACAATGAGGGCTCCCCCTCCACATTTTTCTTCTGCAAACTTTGGCATTCCCTGAAGCTTGCAGCCTACACCTGCTCTTCTGTGGAGGGTGATCACTTCTCTGTGTAACACCTGATGACACTTGGAGAAGTGAAATTGCTGTTAGCATACATGGGATCTGATATGTTCAAACATATATATTGTTCCTCATTTTTACGTGCTGACATGGACCTTGGCGGGCAGATCTAACTCTGCTTAACCTATGACCATACCCAAAGAGCAACCTGTGCCAGAATTCAACCCTGGTTGAGTTTTACCTCTTTCCTTCTACTCTTGTTATCTCTTCAAATGCAAATCTTCCCTGTAAGCCCCTTGGGGCAGGGCTTTAGTGCTCCTTGTGTGTGCTCAGCTTGCTCTTTGATAACCTGATGACCTCCAGCTGCTCTGACCTTCAATTCATAGGAGCCCCAGCCTGGCCCCAGCTCCAGGGCCAGCAGAATGCATGATGGAATTTGTAGTCAGAAGCCTCTGGAGGGCACCTGGTTGGGTAACGCTGTGCTACACTGTGATGATGCCTGGATGATTTAGCCCATGCTGAGCTGGTTGTCTGTACAGGCTGCCAAGGGTAAATTCAGTCCCAGTTAGGCTTTGGGAAGAGCACTGCAGATGAACCTGATGCAAACTATCTGCTGTAGTTTGGCAAAAGTCAAATCCATGCTGAATTTAGTGTCTGGCCATACATGCAGATAACTGGCTAAAAGACCTGGAAGTCAACTGTATAATTTCCATGTGCTGATATTAAAATATAAGTAGCCCCAGCTTTACCAAGTGCGGTGTATACAGCAAGCATTATAGTACTTCTGTTACAACTCTTTAAGAGCAGGTCTGTTATCAGTTTCTTGACCCAAGTTCCAAAACTGTCTGACAGTATTCAGGGAAATAGCAACTCATTAAAAAGCTTAGTGGTTATAAACAAAGGCAGACCCATAAGGAAAGAGACTGGGGAGACAGAGGGGAGAACGGGGGGGGGGGGGGGAGACATTTTCAAAACTTAATTACAAAAACAGAGCAAAGCAAACAGAAGAAAACAAAACTGACCAACAAAATTTAGTACTATTTAGTTTAGTAGTAATAGTAATGATAGTAATAATAATATCCTTCTGTTTTAAAACAAAACATCTTGAAGCAGCTTACACACAAGAAATAAAACCATAACAAAAGCACAAGTGTCATTGGTGCGAAATACTAAAACACTTAAAAATTAATAAACATGTCAGTCATTCTTAATTGTAAAAATTACTACAGAAAGCTAGGCAGACTGCATAGAACTGTTCAGTAATGACTTTCTCAGATTAATTTCATCAGCAAAATTAGGAGAACTTCAATATTTTACTCCCCTTAATACATATCAATAGAGCATTCCAATCTGCACAGGTCATATGGAAAGGCCTTCCTGTGGGTGTCCCTAAGAAGGGAGAGAGACAGGTGGCAACTGAGGACTTTCTGGCTGCAGCTTCTTTCACTTAGGAGGGTCCTCAGTGGGACCAAAGACCTTGAATTTTCCTCAGACCTCTTGACCATCAATTAAACTGCTTTTGAGGCTGCCAATATACTAGCTTCCTTTTCTTGCTGTTTTAAGCTTTCACTGTTCTTTTTAAACCTGCAAGCCATACTAGAAATGTTTGTACAGAAGGACACAATTTACACTGACAAACAAATGAACAAACAAACAAGCAAACATTAATATTTACTCCCAGCTGTAGACTTACTAAGTTTTGGTACAGGCTGGGTATCCCAAAACTGGTATTTACGTTTGGTCGCCTCATCAATGTTCTTTGCTGGGCCCTGACATGCCGAGAGCAGCTCCATGGCTCTTTGAATATCTTGCAGTTTCTGCATTGGAATGGCTGGATTCTGGAGAGAGAGAGACAGAGAAAGATGGACGGACAAGGCACAGGCACACGGTTAAAGGCAGAATCGGTTGACTACAAATTCAGACATGCTCCCACTTGCTTCTCCTCTATTTTCACTTTTGGGGGTACATAGCTTCACCTTTCCTCAGCTTCCCCAGGCTTCTTACTCTCCAAGGATCATCTGCTAGATTTTTGAAAAGCTTTATTTAAAAAAAAAAAAAAACATGATCACTTAAAGCTATTGCTTCTGCTTCACTTTAACAAAAGCAGTTCTGTTTTTTTGAGAAGATAGTTTCTCACAAGGGAGAGGCCAGTAGTCCAAAATCTGCCCTTTCATGTATACGACTTTTGCCCAGGAGCTTCCAGGTAAACAGGCTAGCACTACCTGTTGTAGGATGTTGAGTTTGCTCCTATTGCTCTTCTTAACTGGTATGCTGGTGTGGGTACGTAAGCATATGTGTGTGAAAGGAAAAGGAAAGTGGTGGTGGAAAAACATGGGGAGACAGCATTGTCTGGACTGTTCTGAAATCCAGTGAATGAGAAGCAGCGATTGCACAAAAATCCTGGGGAAGCCATCTCTCAGCTCTTCCGTTCCGATTCTCATTCCTTTTCAGATACCCCTTCTGGATTCTTTTCCATCTTATTTCATTCTTCCAGGCTTCCTATTCTAGGCCTTTTGTTACATCTGTCCCTGCCTATTTTTAGCCAAGGACAACCAGGGAGACATCTTCCTGCCCTTGCTCTAGAGTGGATAAGCATACATTTTATAATTATTTTTAGAAAATTAGTTTAAAAATATTAAATTCCTGTCTCATTTAAAAACAAGAGAGTTGCAATTATATCTCATCATATGCATGCTAAAACGCAGGTGTAGGCTTATAAAAATGAAGCAGACTAGATTGGTAGATGAACCTGAACTTTTATTATACTATTATTAATGTTGATTATTATTACATTTATATCCCACCCTTTTCTGCTTGTGAGGAACTCAAGATGGCTTACATAGCTCCATTTTGTCCGCAGAACAACAATCCTGTGAGACAGGTTGGGCTGAGAATCTGTGACTGACCCAAAGTCACCCAGTGACCTTCATGGCTGAGTGGGGACTATTGCTCAGATCTCCCAAGTCCCCAGCCCAACACACCAACCACTACACCACACTAGCTCTCAGGACTGGAGGCACGACAGCGTCCTCATCAAAGCTGGGGCAGCAGGCGAGCCTCATAGTGTTTGGTCAGCCAAGAGGCAGGTACTGCTCTGTCCTCCAAGAGCAGGGAATGCTTGGGAGAGATTACCTGGCGGGGGGGGGGGGCTGCCTCCACGTCTCCTCAGCATCTGCTGCCTGAAGCTACTGCTTCACTCTGCTTAATGGCTAAACTGGCCCTGCAGAAGAGGTAGTTAACACAGCGGGCCAATACAGGAAAGGAGGATGGAGGCAGAGCAGAAGGTAACAGTGGAATGCCCTAGAAAGGAAATGTGTTCTTGCATTTGTGGTTTAAGCACCTACCACTCCTAATGTGCCACTGCTGCTCCTGCAGCTTGATACAGATGATAAACACTATGCATCATTTCCTAAATTAATAAAAACCAAACTAAAAACTACACTGACAGCACAGTCATATGGCCATGAGACAGCATCTAGACAGCCAGAAGATTTTTCAGAATCCTGACTCCAACCTCAGAAACTCACTCCAAGGAAAGTCAGCATGGAAAGAATCCCGCTGGCTTGATTTTCCAAGGTCACAAATGTGGCCTCAGAAATTCAGAGGGCTTCAGGCATCTGGTCTGGATTGTGCCCAAGCTTACCTTCCTTGATGCTGTAAAATGGTCTGAGTTGTACATCAACTCTTTTTAGTGATCAGATTTGCACCGCTGCATAAGAAATATGTGAAGAACTTTTAGTGACAAACCTGAGTTTAATCACTGACTTAAATCATATTTTTCTCTTCATGATTTAAATTGACAATTCAAATCAAATTTACAGTTCACTCTGTCTCCCCCTGTCTTAGCCTTCCCCAACTTGGCGTCCTCCAGATGTGTTGAGACTACAAATCCCAGGATTCCCCACATCTCTGTTGTCCCCAAGACAGCATCCATGTGGATGAGGTACACTGTGGTCCAACACATCCCTGTATATAGCTGCCATGTCCTTGCAGGGATCCCTCAAGGGGCATGTTTTCCAGCCAACATGCTTATGGGAATTGTTGCCCATGAAGGAGGTTGTATCTGGGGAACATGCTGGATCAGACTCCTCTATTTGATTTTGGTCCTTCACATGCAGTTATGATTATGTGCCTAAGAATAAAGAATGTTGGAGAAATCTGAAAGAGTGCATTTGGATTTCTATGAATTTGACCTGCGGATTCTGCAGTAAACTGACTTTCTCTGAATCACATGGATCCCTCTGACTTGTCAACCAGTTTTTTGGGGGATTTGTGCTAATTCAGATTAGCATAGGCACACATTAATGCTCATGTGCACAGGTACAAATACAGCAATACATATTAGTTAATCTGAATTAGCACTAATGCATGTTACCTAATGAGAAGTAGAGCAAGAAGAACAAATTCTGGTTGGAAAAATCTGATTCTGTCAATGAGCAAACAACAGATTGAAAGGCCTCTGTCAATTCATGAAACAGACAGAATGGGTCTATCCAGTTCTGTGCATCTCTGCTAAGAATAGGGAAAGTGAAAGTCATATCTGAGCTGCTGCAGTACAAGTTGGTTCAAATCATTTTTATATCACAATTCCTATCTAGGAAGTTTCTGAAATCTGAAAGTCTGCCTTTCTGTTTAGAGTCTTCTGCTATTACAGTTTAACTCTTTTTAACCCCAAGGGAGATCAGGTTCAATAAGGAAGAAAAATGATACTGTTCTTGAGCAAGTGGTTTAAATTTACAGAATATTTCTGCCAGTTAGGGCTGCAAAAACATTTCAGAGTCCTGCACTGGCTAATAGGATAAGACTGCTCCAAACTCACCTAAGGGACTGGAATGAGGATTGCTGTAGTCCTTGAATGCCAATATGGCAAATTTTTGCTTCCTCCTAGGAATGTCCTGGAAAGATGGGACCAGGTTTATCTGCCCCTGCCCCTACAGAATGTCACTTTTAAATCTGTTATGATAGAATATATGTAGTAGTGGAGATGACATGAAGACCTCTTATCTATCATGGTTAATGTGTTCACAGGCATTGACCTCCAGGCACCCGAATGGCAATGCCAGAATGCTCACAATACCTCTGAAACACTGTCAGTCCTGAAATGGCCTTTCTGCACTTTGTCCACCAGTTCCCAGGTGTGCTGGTGAATGCCCACTGCTGGCTGGAGCACTAAAACATGATGGGGTTTGCTTTATGGTCAATGTTTACATGCACTACACAGAGGCAAACAAACAGAAGTCATTGACAGGACTCAGAAAGATGGGGGGAAAGGTGTGTTTCTCGCTTTGCTGCAAGCTCTGTCCAAAGGCAGACTTGCACAATTCTCTTTCCCCCTTTTCCCTAAACTTACTTCCAAGAAAACAAATGTAGGATCACTGCTCTAGTATAAAACTGAGCCAAAGGAGGAGACTGAAATATACCACCTATTTTCACATCTCAAATATTATGAAAAGACGTGACTCCTTGCAAACAGAATAAAAATAACTTTCTTACATGGTATATAAAACACAGTGGGCCACAGGTAGGGCTGACATACAAAGCAGGTTTCATCTTTGAGCTTAAACAAAACCTTGCAGTCTGTCTATATGCACAGTCATGAGAGTTATAATTATTACTTATCACAGTGTGAAGAGATTCAACAACCCACAGTTGTCAGCCTCAAGACAATCATGTAACATAAGCCAAGGCACAGAGCTGCATTAAAGGCAATGAAATGGGTTCATAGAACTGAACTCCCCATCGCTTCTGCTCTGTAGTTTTCACTAGGCAAGCTATGACAAAGCTGTGTACAACATGCTTAGGAGTAGCAAAGCTTCTCCTGCAAAGGAATTGCTTTACACATTTCACAAGAACTGAGGAAGCTTCCCCACTCTGGGGCAGACCACAGGTCCATCCTGATCAGCACGATCTGCACCAATTTTCTCCAAGCTGGTATGTTCCAGATGTGTTGCACATAGTGGCAGGGAATTGCTGTGCAACATCTGGAGTGCCTCAGATGGGGAAGGCTGGCCTATACTGACTGGCAGATAGTGTCTGGGTTTTAGACCTGAGTGTTTTCTAGTCCTACCTGAAGATGTCAAGGATGGCCTCTTGTATGCAAAGCAGGTGTTCTACCATCCTGTATGTGGACCTGTTAATTGAGTGGGTCAGTCACCAGAATCTGTAACCAGACTAATACTCCAGCACTCAATAATCATGGATCCATGAATGAGAAAGACATGGTAAATTAGCCAATCATTTGCCAGGTTATGTGCCATGTGTGATCTGCTTTCAGTGTGAATATGAAACCTCCAATTGACTCAAATGTGGGCTTCTTTATGGAATGTGAATCTGGACACTATGGGTTATTCATGGAGTAAATAACCTATAATTAATGACACCACAGTTTGTTGCCATTACATGCAAACTGTGCCTGTGCGACTGGTCTGACATGCTAATCAGGTCTACTCTTTTCTAGGTGGCAGGTATCAGAGAAGGGTCAGATTCAAAGTCTCAAATGTTCCACACAATATTTCTGTGTTGCTGTATATTGTTCCCTACCCACCCCTAAATCAGCTGATGTTGTGGTCCTGTAACTTGATACATACCAGGACAAATCAGAATGCAGCTATGCTGGACAAAGCGGCAAACTCAAGGCGATCTGTGTGGCAAACACACCCCAAACTAGCAATTAACCCCACCATGCAGATTTGTTCCTAAAGCTCTGACTGTAATTATTCAAATGAAAACATATTAAGCTGCAACTTCTCCATGCTTATCTGGAAGCAAGTCTCATTGAATTTAGCAAGACATATTTCCAAGCAGACATGCATTGGGTTGGACTGTCAGTGGCCTTCATAAAAAGAAAAATATTCAATGCAGTTTACAACAATAAACTAAGTGAAAATTACAGTTCACATACTTCCATGGGTCTTGCTTACTGGGAAAACCCCTGGCATTTCAGCTTTAAAAAGTCAGTTAGATTGGTACTTCTGCTGGACAGTCACATTTACCTGCAATTGTGACAGCAGCCCATCCTGCACACACCTGACCTAACATTACCTAGGATCTTTGTTCACACTAAGCTACCAAAATTAAAATGAAGCCCAGACTCTCACTTTTGAAGGCTGCTGAATTTTAATCTCCTGGGAGTCAGATGCAGAGTCTGATTTGGTACCTCCGGAGTTTGGCTTTTCCTTTTTTCGCTTCTGTTTCTTTTTCTTCTTTTTGGCTCCCAATTCTCCTCCTGGACTTCTGTAAAGAGAATGAAAAATTGAGAAGAAGGGGCAGAAAATGACCCGCTTTTTTAAATTGAGTAAGAAAACAAACAAAATAATAATACAGGAGAAGCCCTGAATTATGAATTAGAATAAAGGTGGGGAAGTAATTTCAGCCTTAAGGCCAATGTCAGTTTCAGAGAAGTGCTTAAATTGGAGAATATGTGTCAGTACTTGCATGTATGTTGCAATAATTGTAGAAAGAACATCCAGGTCTTGCTCCATTTGGACTCCCCCAGCAGAACAGAAGAGGAAAAGCAGAACTATTCCACTAGTCCTGCTGAAAATTTTTCCCCTTACCAGACCCTTTTCGCTGTGTCTTTTATATTGAAAGCCTCTAGGTAGGGACTGCTTTTACTGACTGACTGTAAGTTATTCTGGGAGCCTCTTTTGGTGTCACAAGTAGCATAAAATACTTGTGACAACAATATACATAAAATAATATACGTAAAATAAGCCTTCACATATAGAATCCTGGGATAGCAGCAATACGATGCACTGAATGTAAACTGAGTCTGGATGACAGATCACTGCAGCTAGTCATAAGAATAGGTCCTTAAAGTTGCTGGGAAGTGTTGGAAGCTGTAGTAATTTTTTGTGTCTGAACATGCAGAGGATTGTGTTCTAAATGAATGTTAACATGTGGGGAATCCCAAAATATTCTAGGTTTCTGACACAGAACACTGCCCCCCATTAATAAAAAAAATGATAATTGATATGTTCAATGCTACTGAACATAAGAGAAAGGCAGGGAAAAAACTCCAGTTGCTCCATATGGATGCTTTGTAGCCTGGAGAATGAGGAGCACAAATTTATCTCAAACCTCCACAAAAACTTATGCCATGATAAATGTGTTGGTCTTCAAGGTGCCACAAGACACTTTGTTATTTATCCTCGATTATGCTGGCTATATGGGTTCTTTTGCCTATGTCCAAGCACCAGGTACACCCAGCTGGTAGCAAACTATTGCAATGCCTTACAAAAATATATCAGTAATCTCCTGAGAGACATATGATTTTATTCACTGCAAAAACCAATATGCAATACAGGGTTTATGGAATATTTCCTTAAAAGGGCAACAGAAGGGAAGGTTTCAGTAATTTCTTACATTCTGAAATAGTTTGTCACCTAATATATCCAAATAAATTACTTACTCTTGTTAATAAATCTAGGCAATAACAGTCCCCAAGTATTAAGGGGTTCTTCTGTAACTTCACTTTTATTTCATATCAAGTTCCCAATCTGTGGGGGTGCAGGGAAAATAAAATCTAAGCACCCAATCATTTCTAATATACCTTCACCCTCTCTGGTAAGTCACAGAATCTCCTTTAGTTCAAGGGCCAAAATCCCTTCTGGAGTAACTCTGGGGCACGCTTCAGTGGGGGACAGAGCCAGAAAGGAAAGGAATGGGTCTCCCCCACCCCAAAATGCCAAAAATATCAGCATAATTTAAGTTAAAGCTATCTCTGCCACTAATTAAACAGTTATTCCTTTTAGAATTCAGGGTTGGGGGCATGTGAAAGCTAAGAAATGCCCAAATGATCCAGTTGGGGAACTGACATATGACCTTCTGGAGAACCCTGGAGTGGGAAGGATCTGACTTCCAGGCCTGACCTTCTGCAGACCTCCTCTTGGCTAAATGTCAGCAAGGATACACTGCCAGTTAGTATGGTGCAACTATCTGGCTTGCCTATGGGAAAGCCAGGCTTAGATCTCCAGCCAAGCCTTCAAATGGTATGCTCCCTTCCCATGAAGAGCACACTCTGGCTGTACATGGGAAACCTAACATGCCACATCCACTAAGTATGTGATTCAACCTGATTGTGTGGCATGTTCAGGACGTCAGAGCCAACTGTTGGCCAACAATCTGTAGGGAAGGACATGGTGACTTTGCATAGGATGGAGTTCAGCCAACCACACAAATGGTTCTTGTAAATCATAGTTCCTTCCCCACACGGAATGATTGTCCCTCCTCAAGACCCACTGCTTCAGAAAAATATTTCTACAGTTTGTCTTAGTTTCATGTTGTGAGCAACTAGACCAGCAGTTTCCTTTCCCCCTCTGCCTGGAGAAACCAAAACTAACATTCCCAGCCCCACATTCTTCACTATTCATTAGTCAACCCAAAATCTTCAGCCCTGTTCATCTGTGGGCCCCACTGCCTCCATCATGTCCCCAATACCCAGTGCTAACTTCCTCCTCCATGAATACGTGTGTGTGTGTGGGGTGGACTCTGAAGTGGGGGAGCCTGCATCACCAAAAGGGGGGGGGGAGCAAAGATGAAACCAACCTGTTGCAGATCTGCAAATTTAGAAAGAACAATATAATTTAACTACAAATCCAGGACCTCTCCCCACAGCAGAGAAGCCTGACTAGGGGACTTGTGAGCCTGCTCAGGCTTCTGCCCTGATGCTCACTGCTGATGGCCAACTTCAAGGGCACCCTGAACCGCCTCCTTACAGTTGTCAGTTTTTAAGCAGACTTTGACTGGACACCTCTTCAAATAGAGGACATCTCCAAATAGCAGACTGCCCTTGAAACTGCTCTCCAAAACAGAGAAACGGCCTGTGTAAGGTGGGGCACCTGATCAGCCTATCTCCATGTGATCTAGGACCCTGAAGGTAACTGCATTAAAGGAGAAGGGATGACTAGGGCCTCTCTATCTGCATTTCCTCAAACAGTGATTGCAAACCCTCTATGTCAGGGGCCATATCATCCATGCTGTAGGTACAGCAGCCTGTGCGCACTGTCAGTGCTATTTTTTTTCTAGCTATAGCATGTTGAATGGGCTCAAAGATGTATATTTCTGCAAAATGAGTTGCTTTAATCCATGACACAGTTCTTACGTCAAAAAAAGATGCACATTTTTCCAACACATGAACAAGCATTTAAGACATTTCCTAGGCCTCCCACAAACAATCCTGCACAAAATGCACAAGTGGTCATAGCTACAAGAATATATAGAATTAACTTTTAAATCTGATATATTTATATATGGGGGTGGTGTTGGAGGTTGAATATCCAGATTTAGATCATGCTGCAATCCCTGAAGAATTATCTGCATTCCAAAATTACTTTTAAAACATGTGAAAAACTCAAGAGGAATTGTCCTTGCCCACTTTTGGTAAAATCCTGGAAAGTGTTCCTTTAATATCACAGAAAATTAATTAAATAAACCCTGCAGAATCTGGGCAGAAGTATATTCATGCAGTCTAGCTATTTAAAAGAGGAGCTGAATTACATAATCTTCCTCCCCAAAACAACTCCATCAAATCAAAAAGAAAAAAGCAACTCCTCATGGAAACAGCTCTTTAGATTAGACTCTCAGGAAGGAAACATTATAGGCACTCCAGCATTCAGCAAAAGAGGCAACATGCAAAAGATGCAGATACCTGCATCCTCTAGAATCGTCTATGGTATTATTTTCTGCAGCAGGTTGCTGCAACCCTCTGCTGCCCTCAGCACTATTTTACCACGGAACTATTTCTGTGGTTAACAGCGGATCACCCAATTTTAACATGACAACCTAGAGAAAAGTAACTCCATTTATGTAGTTGCCTCACCTCTCACTAAAGTCTCCCCACCCATTTACATGAGAAGTGGAGCTGCAAATGAAAAGCAGGGCTGTTCCAGAACACTGTGAGACATCTGACACAATCACATTTTTAAACAGCATGTTAGCTTGCAAATGCTTCGCTGCACATCAAGCGCATATAGAAGCAGCTGAGAGAATGGAAAAGCAAAACATGCAGGTAGATAACAGCATATCCATAAAAAGCTGACAGGAAGAAAATGGACGTGTTCAAAATATGGTGCTGGAGGAGAGATTTGTGAATACCAACAGAAAGATGAACAAGTGACTCCTAGATCAAATCAAGCCTGAACTTTTCCTGGAAGCAAAAATGACAAAACTGATACTGTTGTACTTTGGGCCCATCATGAGAAAGCGAGATTCCCTGGAGAAGACAATCGTGCCAGGGAAAGTTGAAGGAAGTCCAAATAGGAGATGGATCAATTCCATAAAGGCAACTGCAGCCTTGAGTGGCACAAGAGCTGGGCAGGGTGGTCAAGAGCAAGACCCTTTGAAGGGCTTTCATTCATTGTGTCACCAGCATTGGAGACAACTTGACAGCACACAGTTCTCTGCATGTGAATGACCATTCCCAGAAGACGTCTTCTTCTAGTTCTTGAATGCTATGCCAAACAGACTTTCCAATTAGGCTTTAAACATCCTCCCCGCAAAAACCACAATCCTTCTACCAATTTAGCTGCTGTGACTTCACCTGCTCAATTAATCCTGAAAGTTATAGCTCTGGAGTGGGTAGGGGAATGATGCCGAAAATGTTCTATTAGCATTATCTAACCCTAAACACAGAACAACATTTCCTGGGGCTCCGTCTAGAAGGGAATGACTATTAAATCAGCTTAAGTGGTCTCTCTAATTTTGAACACACACCCATCTTATCTGACATGTCCACATTCTCTCAAAAATCTTTAGGTCACTGGTACCCCAGCTACTTGATTACCTAGAGGTTTTATGAATCTAGAAGAATCTAGAAGCAGCTGTATTGCCCATAATAAACAATCCACGGAATGTAAAAAGCGAGTGTGTGTATGTGTGCAAAAGTGAGGGGTGGATGTCTTCACACTCGGAATCTTAACCTATCCGCAAACCTGCTTTTTGAGAAATCTGATCTGATAGAGATTTGGGGAGCTTGCACTGTGTTTGCGATCTTTGTGTTGGCCTAATGAAGGTATTATATACCATGGTTTTCCATTTTTTAAAATCTCAGAAAAGCCCTGATTCAAAATAGCCATACAATGGGCTAGTTCATCAGAAAGCACCATGGGTTATTTAAGCCACTGTGAGGCTGCGGCACCTGCAAGGCAAACCAGGCCTATAAGTTCGTTGCTAGCAAGGTGCTTTTTCTGGAAAATTTTCCCACACAAATTAATTTGCATGATTTCATCTATCAG